CGGTTGGTTCTGCCCCTGGGATTGCTGAAGTCCATGAGCGATGGTAACCACTCACCAACAAGGAGGCCGTATGCTCATCTGCCCACTGAGCATTAGAAGAAATCGAAAAGTCAATTAAAAAACTGCTGGTTAAAATAATAACGTATAAATTAGTATATCAACTGCTTAAAAATATTTTGTATTCACTGATTTATTACTGGTGGTAAGACCTCTTGTGAGTCCGCACGGGTAGGTACCACCACCCTGCCTGTTTCTGAAGGGTGAAGGGTGAAGGTGATTTGAAGGGCGGGGCAGCCGTTGTAACTATACTGAGACCTTAGAACTTTTATCTCAAGGTGGGTGGCACATTTAAGTTGTAGATGTCTACGGGCTCCAGTAACCACTTAACACCAGGTGGGCTGTGAGCTCGTTCACCCATCTAAGCAATTAAAAAAATTGAAAAAAATTAAGTAATTTGATGTCGCAGTTTTTAAATTTCAAGATTTGTTAACTATTTTGTTTACTACGAGGTCCTATTTTGTTTACTATTCACTTATTTATTTAAGCAGTTACCTAACGTACATCGGTACACGGATCTAAAATACCAGGTTTTGTTTTTATCGATTAGCTGGTGCGTTCAATGCTGTGGTAGGGAATGTTGTGAGTCCGCAATAGTGAACAAAATTACTATCGCCTATTTCGGATCCGAGGAAATGATGCGACTGATAAGACTTTTGCGCATGAGAGCTATAGCTACAATCGCTGCATAGCGCTAAAAGCTGCTTTCAAATCTAATGCCTGAACGAATATCGTGGTCTGCGGAAGCGCTGTGACCCAGAGCATGTTCCAGAGATGGTAGTAGCAATGGACTCTGCACTAATGGCAGGTGGTGGTAGTGAATGGATGATCTTGAATGATTCCTCAGAGCACTTCCCATGGAACATAGATCATATAAACGGAATCCAAATATGCCGTAGACTTTCCTCATAGATTTCGAATGATACGTCTGACTTTAAATAAACCTCGAGTGGCGGTGACCAATAATTTTGCCAAACTGATTCATTAACATAACTTTGACATTAGCGATTCAGATTTTTTTAAAACGTTTTTTTTTCCTCTTTTATATAAACACGATTGACTTGTAGGAATGTGTAGATAAAATATAGATTTATCTGGTTTTTTTTTTATTATCTTGTTTTGCATATTTTATTCGCAGTCTAGAAGCAGTTCTCATTATGAGAAGTTGTGTTTTTGAGAAAATCTCAATATTAATGGATTATTATGAAACTACGTCGTATTTTAATAGCGTTGCGTAAGTGAATTACTTTGTTGTATTAAATTTATAAAAAAAAAGTATATTTTTTTGTGGAAATCAACATTACGTTTAAATTGAACCTTAACGCTCGTGTCATATGGCTGGTTGCGCGATTCAATTTGTCGGTTAGGCTCCTTTAACCACTTAACACCAGACGGGACATGAACACATCGCTCGTTTAAAACCAATTACTTGCATTTAATATAGAAAACAAAAGAAAAAAAAATCGACATTAAATCTTTTAAGTACTCTTCCGCAAAATAATTTTAGTGATTAGTGACAAATTTACGAAAAATTCTAAGAAGTTAATTATCTATTTTTTCCTACGAAACTATTCGAGCTGNCTTTAACCACTTAACACCAGACGGGACATGAACACATCGCTCGTTTAAAACCAATTACTTGCATTTAATATAGAAAACAAAAGAAAAAAAAATCGACATTAAATCTTTTAAGTACTCTTCCGCAAAATAATTTTAGTGATTAGTGACAAATTTACGAAAAATTCTAAGAAGTTAATTATCTATTTTTTCCTACGAAACTATTCGAGCTGTCCTAATGCGTTTATTTGTTTACGAAGTTCTTAAATGCTCGTTAACATAACATTAAGTGGTTTGTTATCTAACATCTACGACTGTCTGCGGCGGCCACGGACTCATTAAGTGTCCAACGTTCGTGAATTGAACATCTCTTGTGTATATTATATAGAAATGGTTGTGATTCTGAGGTTTAATTCGAAGGAGTTCACTTTTCGAACGGCAAAAGGTGAGTTGTTTTTGTTTGTTTAAGTCCTCGTTCAATCTCGGGATAGGTACCATTTAATTTTTCTAGTAATGTTGAGTGAGTTCTGAGATGATTTACTAATTCGGTTATAGACAAACATTATTCATGTAAAAACTAAAGTTTTTTTTAATGGACACGTTTTCAGTAACTGTTATGGGGCAATTCTTGTTCTTCTCCATCGTTACTCACTGCTGAGGATCGTGAACACATGTGACTTTCCTCCACAGTGTTCGGTCATTCGTGGCACGGACCGCAAGATATTTAAAGACCATCGCCAACCACTTTCTTATAACATAACCGAATACTATTGTCCTTTTTTTATTGTTTAGGTGGGTGGACGAGCTCACAGCCCACCTGGTGTTAAGTGGTTACTGAAGCCCATAGACATCTACAACGCAATGGCGCCATCCACCTTGAGATATAAGTTCTAAGATCTCAGTATAGTTACAACGGCTGCCCCACCCTTCAAACCGAAACGCACTACTACTTCCCGGCAGAAATAGGCAGGGCGGTGGTACCTACCCGCGCGGACTCACAAGGGGTCCTACCACCAGTAAAGTAACTTCTCTGATACTTCAGAGTGAAACGAGTCCTTCAATAAAATCGAATGTGGGTGGCGGATCCCTACATTACAACAATTGTAAAATAATATTTTTGTAATTGTATTTAGTTTTTTAATGCACGCAATGTACTCCAAATTTGTTATATAATGCTCAGGTCAATAACCTCACGATCTGATACATCACAGATTGCGGGTGTCGTAAAATATACCATCAGTAATAAAAAGTCCTTCAAAGGTAGTCGTTATTCTAAAATGCATAAAGTTTATTCTTGCAAATTGAGCGTCAGCATTCTTGATGTGATGTTGCTTGCGTGATTGATCACGCGCTTTTTTTTACCCATAAATATAGATTCGATGAATATCGATATGATTGCGTTATTTTTCAGTTTTGACTATGAAAACTGCTAACAAGTATGTGAAGAAGAAGGTATCTAATTTATTCTTCCCAGTAACAGCTTTGTGACACAATTAATGTTTTTTAAAACAATACGTCGTTCGTAAATCAATAGCAGTCTAAAATATGATTTCAAATATTTTTCATTCATAATTAAAATCAGGAGAGTTCGTATGACACAATGCGGGTTTAAAAATATGTTGATGACAAAAAAAAACATGCGAAAGAACGAAAATAGTCTGTCTAGACGCGATGCATTTCGGAAACGACGTAATTTCCGGTGCAGAGGTGTAAGTTCTTCCAACAAACAGCCACAGAGCACCTCACATTGATCTCTAGGTTTAAAATTCTATTAAAAGACAAATAGAATTTGTATTTCTATTTCAGAAACCTTGAGGAGCATTAACAAAGACAACATCAGTAACCGTAAATTATTTAAAATCGCATTTTTTCTGTTTACCGACCACGGAAACACCGAAACTGCTTTTCCAAAGAGATAAATTTCGAATGATTCTATAAATACGTGACCATAATAAAGGCGGGAGCGTCGCGCCGCCCGCCCAGTGCAGTCCGACGCGCGACGCGGCACGACGTTTGAATAGAAACGTCATCGCGACGTGACGTTACACCGCTGTCACGCTGTCATTATTGATGTCTGTCAACGTCATCGTTTGACGGAACGAACACGTAGTGCGGCTATTTCTGTGTCCAGAAACTTACGTCTTTTTAACAGTCAATAACAGTATTAAAAATAAATCGCGGATGTGTACAATAATATCCTAAGTACAGTAGAAGTGAAAGATGAGAGTAGCAAATATTAACATTAGTTCGGACCCATATTTATTACACATGTCATATAAATGTTATGAGGTTTTGTGTCGGTGTTGTATGTTGTTGGGATCGTTTGGTAAAAGAAAATGTATCAATTTGGGAGCACGAAAAGCTTTCAGCACAATATTGTTTGCATTACGAATACATTTAACAGATTGAATTAAAATATTTGTAACGAAAACTTATAATTTGAATTAAGGACTTTTCAAGTTATTATAAAAACATTGTAACATGCGTAATATGTACAAAATAGTATTTTTTTAAATAAAAATCAAAACTCCCGATGGCATATCATAAGCTACTTAGACTCGTCTACCCTTTGCCAAAAATTACCTAGAAAAATAATTAGGAGAACTAAAGAAAAACACTCCAAATATCTCCGACTGCCTTATCCGACTGTTGCACTATGGTAATGATGAATGTAATGAATCTCGTATCAAACACGTGGCCATTAGGACGTAACCCACTGACTTCCTTGTTCAGTTCTTGACAGGCATCATCGAACCAGATCACGCATTGTATTTCTTGTATTTCATTCACGTTTGTAAGTAGCATTATACGGTCTTCGTGTCAATTTTTTAGACCGCGGATCTTCTTTGAACGTATAGCGACAGATTGCGTAAGAAGTTTGAATCAGCATTTATCAGATGTCGGATCATAAATTTATCGATAATCAGTGAACATTTGACGTCGCATAGCCTATGACTAAAGGAATATCGAGAGGGAGAGATGTGCATTATTCATAAAACTTATCGTAATTTCGCGTAGTTTGAGTCATCGAGTGCAGAGATCACGTATACAATTGTATGATGTTACCAGCGTCTGCAGTAACGATAAATATATCGAGATGTGAAAATCTATTTGTTTTAAGCAACACTTTTGCAATTTACAGGGGAGCCATTTAAAGTTTAACACATTTTCTTTGACTGCCCCAATATCGTATCCCCTCTTTATGATATCCTTCCCAATGACATTCCCCGGCCTATTAATATTAACTGTTTATTAACTTTAGTCTATGCTAAACATGTAAATATTCTGTGTAAATTTTTATCTGCTAATAATATTTATCTCTATAGTAGTTAGTCTAACATATATTTGTTTGTGCTGTTCTTGAAACCACAGATTCGCGTATGGAAAAACCCACCAAATTTATTTGTATTTAGATTTAGTAATTTTTTCCCTCTCTAAGCATCTGTCATTTTTGTAAATACTTTGACATTGGCAAAATCAATGCCAAAGGCGTTGGAGCCAAATTATCTAAAAGAAGAAAGAAAAGAAAGTTTTAAATTTGGAAAAAAATACATAACAAAAAAAAAATTTCAGTATTTGAATGGGGTTAATTGTAATGGAAGTTCAATTAAAAACATCGAATTGTTGATGCTAATACCAAATAAAACGGACCTTTAATTACAAATATTACTGGTGGTAGGACCACTTGTGAGTCCGCGCGGATAGGTACCACCGCCTTGCCTATTTCTGCCGTGAAGCAGTAATGCGTTTCGGTTTGAAGGGTGAGGCAGCCGTTGTAACTATACTGAGACTTTAGAACTTGTATCTCAAGGTGGGTGGCGCATTTACGCTGTAGATGTCTATGGGCTCCAGTAACCACTTAACACCAGGTGGGCTGTGAGCTCGTCCACCCATCTAAGCAATAAAAAAAAAATGTCAATGTCGCGTATTAAGCGAAATGTCGCGTTTCACCCCTATATATAGTTTTAACAAGTACCGGGTTTTTTTAATTTTTATTTTATAAGTTCAATTACCAGTACACCAATATACGGATGTGATTTAAAAAACTCCGACATTTTTGTATGTGACGCCATTTTGTTTTTTAAAACACACGTCTTGCTTTATGTTACGTACTGCATTCATAAACACTTCAAACGCGGTTATAAATGCATACAATTATAACTATTTAGGCTATGTGCTACCGTTAGACGAACTCCCAATATGGGATACATTAGCAGACGGTTCTTTTTTAAGGATTTATAAAATGTAAATTGCTTTTGGCGCTAGCACGCATTGGTATTGGGAAAGCGAAACTGGTGGTAGGACCTCTTGTGAGTCCGCGCGGGTGGGTACCACCACCCTGTCTATTTCTGCCGTGAAGCAGTAATGCGTTTTGGTTTGAAGGGTGGGGCAGCCGTTGTAACTATACTTGAGACCTTAGAACTTATATCTCAAGGTGGGTGGCGCATTTACGTTGTGGATGTCTATGTGCTCCAGTAACCACTTAACACCAGGTGGGCTGTGAGCTTGTCCATCCATCTCAGCAATAAATAAATAAAAGCGAGAAAATTGATAATTGTAACATGAAAAGAAAAAAAAACATAAATCTTTAATGATAATTTAAATAATTATACACACTAATACTTGTCGTACATTTCTCAATCAATTTTACCGCAGAAAGAACCTTAGTATTCTCATTCGACATTTCGTTATAATTTTTTGAATATTTTCTGAGTGACTAACTATTTGTTTCGTCTTTTGAAACAAATGCTAATCGATGGTACGCATGCAGATACGGACTTTCATTCAGAATAAATTGGCTATTCACATGGAGTAGACCTTGAGTGTGGTTTCGTTGGCCTCAAAGGCCACTTTAACGTGACCTTGTCTCACAATTCAGTTGTGTCCCACAATTCCACCTGCCTTAAATTCGGAAACGGTGTTACTGAAACGGGAGCTTACCCTTTACATTGGTTGTCGAGTTGATTGTACATCTCTGGCTCTCATTCTCGTGGCGATCATATATTAAATCAATATATTTGATAGAATTGTAAACTTTTCAACAAAAAAAAAAAATGAAATTGGACGCTGCAGTTTTTGCGTGATATATATATTTACATGAAATACAAATGTACAAATAAGTATAACCTTAAGATTATAGTGAAGATTATATTGTTGTCTTTTCCTTAATTGTGTCGAATCAATTAGTCAATAATAAGTAATAGTAAAAAAGTCATTATTATTTAATGCGCATTTAAACGTTCGTTCACCAAAAAATTTCCAAGTAAAATAATAATAATAAATCTGGCAGCCCAGTGCGAATAAAAAAAAATATACGTCACAGATAGGTACGTTATTGATTTTGGCAACTGTATTGTTTTTATTTAGTATTCAGTTCAGTGTTGCAAGTGCACTACGGATTGTGATTTAGTAGAAATTGTGAAAATACAAATAAATATTTATGTGTGTCATGGGTGCTTTGTGTCGTTTCCGCGCGATATATAATGTCGGTAAGTTGAGTTATGGAGGATTAATAATTACGTGTTTATAATTTTTATTATTATAATTTATTTATTTATACTTTATTTCAGTTTTCCATGACAACCATAACATTTTGTTAGTAAGAATTACTTACAATCTATGTTAGTAACTTAAAAAATCCAACACATAACTATCATTATATACATTTTATATCGTTACATTTTTTTTTGTCCTTCCTAGTGCCTGCTGCAAAGGCTATTAATCAGCAGTCCCTCGGTCTTGCTCGATATGATTTAATAATGAAATAATGCTAAGTTTCTAAAAAGAAAACAGTTTTTTAGTATCGTTGGTACAGTGGTGAGTAAGCACGACAACCGGGTTCAATTCCCGGCTAGAGCTTGTATTACTAAAATATCCGAATGTTCTTCTCATATTTTGTGTGTGTTCCCGTTTACCTTAACACACACATACACACACAAAACAAATAAGATGTGGAAGTTTTGAGCTAAAGTTAAGTTTTTGTGGTCAATGAAGACTAACAATTATTTTATTATAATACCTTTATAATAAAGAAGTAAATAGGATGTTGAATGAATAGTAGGTTTTAACTGTGCTTAATGAAAACGAAACCATTGTAATCTTTGTGATTAGTACAAGTAGTTAAATGTTGATAACAATTAAATCACTACAAATTACTACTATATGGACAAAAATATATATCGATTACTAGTAATTACTACTACTAGTAATGACTACCATCAAATCAACTCGATCGGGGTTAATTTGTACGGATTACTTAAATGAGTGTTGCGATAATGTCTTATATTACGAATATAACATTAAATGCTTTTTTTACGCAAATCTCTGTTTTAATCGTACTGTCTCATATTGCAATAAGTTTGGTTTATTTCGAGCACATTGCCAACGAAGGGAAATAAAACTAAGAAGGTTTGATTTGGCTCTTGCCGTTATAAAGTTTATGCGAGCTTTGTTTGGAGATGAGACTTTGGGTAGGGAACGACACGAATGATTTACTGGTGTCAGGACGTATTTAGAGTCCACATGAGTAGCTACCACAACGCTGGCTATTTTTGCCGCCAAGCAATAATGCGTTCCAGTTTCAAAGTGCGATAACCGTTACAGCTAACTTCGATTTGTCTCAAGTCATGTCAAAAGATTGGCAATGGCAGTCATAGATAACCCATTATCACCAGACGGGCCGTCAGCTTGTTCCCCTATGTAGTTCATTTAAGAATATGCCAAAGCTGAAATCGCCCAGCCATTGTTTACTCAGTCCCTAAATAGTAAGTCAAGATAAAATTATTTGAGTTAGATATAATAATTTAGTTTTCAGAAATGTTTATGTATAAGTTTCCGATAGACCATTAGAATGAGACATAAAATAAATAAAATATAAATGTTCAATCATCATTACATATCTATCAGTAATTTTGTTTCTTCCTTTAAAACCCACGTTAAGAACAAATAAGTTTTGAAGTTATCAATAAAAACTCAACAAACTTAAAGTTTTGTAGGATGCGTGCGGCTCAATAAAATTTAAATACTTTCACAGTAAAATCTCGTCGCTGTTTTGACTAAAATATTCCGAATCACGGAAATTCTAAAAAGAGGAACATTTAAAAGTGTTATGGTGTCTTTGACCTCTACGATGTTGTTAGTTTTTTGTAATACTTAACGAACATCAAAGTAATAACAATTTATTGATAGGAAAAATGTATTATTATGTATTATTTTTAAACTTATTTAACTCGTTGATTCTGAACACGATTCGTTCTGTAACACTAAATCGCATTCTTTGTCTCGTAAGTGCTAAATTTACTGGCGGTAGGACCTTTTGTGAGTCCGCGCGGGTAGGTACCACCACCCTGCCTATTTCTGCCGTGAAGCAGTAATGCGTTTCGGCTTGGAGGGTGGGTCAGCCGTTGTAACTATACTGAGACCTTAGAACTTGTATCTCAAGGTGGGTGGCGCATTTACGTTGTAGATGTCTATGGGCTCCAGTAACCACTTAACACCAGGTGGGCTGTGAGCTCGTCCACACATCTAAGCAATAAAAAATAAATAAAAAAAAACTTAATAACTCTAGAGCACCAATTCCATAGTAGGCCATCTCTAATCCTTGTACATCTTTGTATATCCAGATTCATCCACGTGTTTTTTTAATTTGCTTCAGTAATAAATAACTATGCAATACCCGCTTGAAGTTTTTACTTGTGCTCTCATTTGGCAAATTGAAGTTCTTACTTGTGCTTGTGCTCTCATTTCACAAATACAATTTAATAACACAAATCTACTAAATTAGGATTAATTTAGATGCTTAATTTTCATTTTCCTGTTGGAAAGACCTCATTTCGTGTTTATTTATCCACAAGCTTATTTGAGAGCGTAGATACATCCTGCATCCGAAATAAACCGCTCGCACAGAAATAATCTAACGCTGCACGCGACTTCCTACATATTTTAGTCTAGTGTTTAATTTTACAAGTATCTAAAGGCAGATACAGTAAAATAAAATTTGTAGAAAATTACATAAGATATTGAATTGTCTAAAGAAAAAAAGGAACAAAAATCAAAGCCAATTTAATTAACAATGACAATTAATGACACAAAGTTTATAGAAATCTGTTGAAAAAATTTTCAGTGTTATTTAAATTGAACAGTATCGCTTAGGAATAAATTATATTACATTAAATTATATTGTATTATTTTTTTCACGGATATACCTTCAAAATTCATTCATATTTTTGTCGTAACATTTTAACTTGCTATCCATAAACATGTCCACTATAATACGCCTACTAAACTATAAAATATAGGCAAAGGAACAAACTCCGAATTTGCTATACTTAAAGATTTTTTTTGTTTTCAGTCGAAACCTTTCTTTGTTACGATATTAGCAAGTTAAATTGATCAAATATATCCGCTTCTAAACCAGGCAGACCCGACAGTTAACTAAAACACAACAAGATACGTTCAACTGTTGACTGACTCAACTCCTATATTTAGCAAGCAGTTGCACTGGCGCTCAGAGCATCAGCGACATTTTATAGAAGACACTTCTTTTTGGATTTTATTAAGTTCGTAAAAAATATTCAACGAAAATGAGATAGTAGATATATTTAAAACTAGTCTTCTTATATCAGAGATAATAACTCGCGGTAACCAACAATGTAGATTACACCTTGATCACAAGAGAGGGATTTAAACTTACTTTTTGGTGTCTAAAATGCTCATTGTTTTTAAACTGACAAAATTTTCATAAAAAAATGTGCAACACTATTATGTTTACGCTGTATTAAAATTTATTTCATATGCTAACCATAAATTTTGCCATATGCGCGCGAAAATCATGTATATCACGGCGGCCATTGCCACTATGTAGTTGCGCAGCGACCGGGTATCCGTAAATGGATTCCCCAGCGTTAAAAAAAAAAAAAAAAAGGTTACCAAAGAGTATATTTAAAAATATAGTTTTTTTTCATTTTTAATTAATATAGATTTTATCTATGATCGCTCTGTATGAGGATCGGTTCTACGACCTTCGATTTTTTGTTGTCGTATTTTAATTTAGCGTCAGAAAAAAGTTGTAAGTCATGTTTCTATTGTACGTAGATAAAAAAAAGCACGAAAAAGGTTATTCACTTGCACAAAAAACATTATAATTGTAAATTGCTATTTAATTTGTTATTTAAACACATCGGTAGCGGGCTCTCGGTTGGATTTCAGTCTTAGCTGTTTCACTGCAAGGCACTTTGGTTTGGAGGGATGTGAAACATCTTATACATACTCCATTAAACTTAAGTACAAGAATCTATGAGTGGTGGTACATAGTATCTATATCTATAAATTAGTATCTATTGTATTGACAATGGCATACTGTTGTAGTACTTTGAACAAAGTAAACTGTTAATTTATCTGTTTATATGCCATTAAAAATAATGTGTAAATCGGAGCCATAAACTCCATTAACGGTGATATCAAAGAATAGCCCTTGTTTGTATATTATTTCGCCTGTAGATGTCATTATTATGGGCAATAACAAAGTTTTAGTGACGTAAATACTGTATTTTATCTATACTATGGAGGGTGTTAGACGAAAAAACCCTTTGTACATATTATAACACTATCAAAAAAGATAGATCTCAGTTTTTTCAACGCTATACTTCCTTAGCGTGGATAATATTACTAGTCGAATCCGGTCCGCTTTGCTGGCCGATTTTTTTTTAATTTGATCCAATCTCTACTATGCTTAGAAAATCAGATGTACTGTATCAATGCTCTGTACGGATACCACGAAGCCAAACTGAAGTATTCCTGAAAAAGTTCCTAAATCGCTCCAGCCGTTTCGGAGTCTTTAGGGAATACACACACACATCGATTTTTAAACATATAGATTATACTTGTTTCTCAATTATGATTATGAATATGAAAGAGACAGACAAACATATTTATTCTTGTTGTTTAGCGGTTGAATAATCTTAATTTTCTTCTTGTTGAAACAGAAGGCGAGTTCGAAACGGAATGGTTGCAGGCCGCAGGGCTGGGATCCCTCGCGGCTCCGTTCCAAGCTGGTCTGGAGGTCACCGAGGCCCAGCTGGGTGAGGCGGTGCGGCCTTTACCCAGGGAACAGGCTGCAGCCGTGAGGAGACGCGTCAGGAGGCTTAACAGGACTGTGAGGAGACGTCGCGCGGCTTCCAGGGCCAGGAAGCCCGATATAAGAGATGTCTTCCGGGACTTAGAGGTTGGTACATGCCATATTGAGGAGCGAAGGCTGTTCATTTGATTTAAGTGATTTTTCGCTTAATACGCTACGTTTTTCTTTGTAATTAAAGGTACTTTTTATTTGGTATTACGAGTCAAAAATTCGATGTTTTTAATTTAACTTCAATTACGTTTACCACATTCAAATAGCTGAAGTAGTTTTCTTTGTCATTTAGGTGATTTGTATAACGGGTTGCAATTACCTATTATGGAATGTGTAGAAATTAAAGTTAATTGGTAGCTAATGATTTATTGCTCGCGGCCCATTTCGATAAAGCGGCACGACACGAGAACCCTCTCATCGTGGCCGCCGGTAACTACATAGCCTATCCTGCGGACCAAATAGTTAACAGTCGATGTCGCCCAAAACGCGGTATCTCGCATCCTCCCGATCCACTAACGGTGCTTTTAGGTACCCCAAGCACCGGTCATTGTTTTCGTCGAACCCGTCGCTTGCGACGAAAGGCTCGACAAGCAAATTAACCCATAGACACAGCCCACTGAGTTTCTCGCCGGATCTTCTCAGCGGGTCGCGTTTCTGATCCGATGGTAGATTTTGCGAAGCACGGCTCTTGCTAGGGTTCGTGTTAGTAACGTCGTCAGGTTCGAGCCCCGTGAGCTCACTTACTAACCCGGCGATGCTGGTCTTTCGAGACCATCAGCTTAGGATTGAAAAAAAATATGACGTGCGGCGTGAACAACCGGTGCTACCAACTGTACACTACACACTATCGTAATACAGAATGTGTGGTACCTATATAAAACCCTTACAGTCATATTCTTTCCGAACTTTTAATTTTAAATGACACTTCTGTAAAGTTACAAAAATACCTGACTTGAATCGTGAATAACCGCCATTACCGCCACGATATATGATATTATATATCGAGATGTCTTCTATCAAAATTTGAATGACTTATCTTAAATCAACATCACTCGTATCACAACAGTTCGCTCGTATTTATTAGATTTGTTCTATTTACTTTTATAAATTTGTCATGTGAACGAATACAGATCGTATGTAGGTGTCACAGCTATTATACTCTGTAACTATAACAATTCATAATATATCATTATTAACTGGAGGTGGGAAGTATTGACCGAGCACCGTATAGACCGGTTTAATAGGTGGGCCGTCATCCAAGACAATTGGGATTTTGATCTCATGTCGGCATGTAGGTGGCGGTATGCATCTTAAAAATCTGCCCATATAGATCTTGGACGGTTGATCTATTCTAATTTTAAATGCCTGTTTTTTTTCGATAAACCGTTAAATGACGGTATTTAGAGAGAAAAAAAACACGATATGATACGATGCTAAGATAGGTCGTATAATAAATAAAAGATACCATTTCTAAGCGTATCGACGAATACAGAGCAGTCTCCATAGACATAGTCCACTGAGTTTCTTGCCGGATCTACTCAGTAGGTCGCGATTCTGATCCGGTGGTAGATACAGCGAAACACTGCTCTTGCTAGGGACAGTGTTAGCAAATTCACTCAAGTTGAACCCGTCATCCTATCGTTGCGTGAGTATCTGGAATAGCCCCATAAGCTACCGGCGACCAGGTATGGGGAAAAAGAGAGCAGTCATATTTTTAAAGTAAACAGAAGTATCTAGTGACTGTATTAGGGACAGATAAAGCGCGCTCCTTAGATAACAATTAACTCGGCTTACTTAGGTAATAATTAACTGCCGGAGAACTTACAGTGACTAAACTTGTTTTAATTTCTATTACCCGATGTTATAGCTTTTCTGTACCAAATACGTATTTTATTAATAAAATTGGTACCAATCTGCGGGGTTTGAATACCCTTGTATAGTTCATCATCATCATCATCTGTTTACTAATCTACAAATTCAAAGGCTACACTATAGTTTTCCGAAGATTACTAACACTGATTGGAACAATCAATTAAGAATGCTCATACTTGAAAGAAAAAAAAAACCTTGATAAACATTTCAATTTGGTAGCGGTTTGTCGACAATCACCGTAGCTAACGTGTTTTAAACTAATGGCAATTCCGATCGCTTTTCTACCGCCATTACAACACATCTCTATTAAGAGACCATTGTGACTAGTAGATAACGAGCTCGGCATAATGCTAATGGCATTGCAGCGGTAGGGTTGTGATAATCACAAATCTAATGACGTGAAATTAAATTATATTCAATGAAAAAGATTTAGGGTCCCTAGTAAGAATGGAACTTTATCAGTAGTACACAATTTATTAATGAAATAGAACTATTATTGATCGAAGATGAAATACCATATGTCGTCATCTTCAGCAATGAAGCTGAAGCTTAAGTTACATTGAAATAACGTCTACTTTTGTTAGATCAAGAATGATCAAGAATGATCTAACAAAAGTAGACGTTATTTCAATGTAACTTAAGCTTCAGCTTCATTGCTGAAGATGACGACATATGGTATTTCATCTTCGATCAATAATAGTTCTATTTCATTTCAGAAGAATATTGTCAATAAACTTCAACATACCTGCTGTATCTTTTGTTGGATTTCCCTAAATAAAACCGGTTATCCGGAAAATATAATTAATCTTGGGGTGCAATAAAGTGTACTTACTCTTTTTCACTCTCTCTATTTTCCTCACAAACGGAATAATATATTATTGATGTCCGGTAGAAATAGACGGTCCGCCCGGGCGTATACCCTCGTACCAAAACCGGGCTCTAAAGACGGATTATGGCAAATTTGATGCTTAAAAGCGTTTGTGTATGCCTACCCAATATGGCCTAGTTAATGTTAAACTAAATACTTGGCTTGGAGGTTCAGGTTGCGTAGTGGAAATGCATTCTGTCATTTTACGGTCACGTCATTAATGAACCGGGTGTCCATTGCGGCTTCTAATGCGAGTTTAATTGTTAGATACATTTTTTTGTTCGTTCAACGCTGACGTCTAGTTACGTTTAGGCTGTTTGAAATTTTTGTTATTTGCGTAAATAAATTTTAAGTGAGCGACTCTAAATAAACTGTAAACATTCTCTTATCGATTTTAAATCGATAATATATATTTAATATTATACCCAATTCGTTTTATTAGTGAATAATGCGAATGTATATTGTTCTAGTAATACAAGTTTCATGAAATTTATTATGTGTAATTATAAAACCGAACGCACATTAATTTAGACGTAAATTGCACGGCGTCCGGTTTTCGCAACTTCGTTTTCGTTCTAATGTTGGACAGTGCAGTTGTTTACACTTAGCTGAAAAAAGTCAGTCAAATCGTTGGATTGTGAAGGAAGTTTTCGGTGCCAAATTTGAAAAAAAAAATATGAATTAGAACCAAAACGTGTTTTTCTTTTTTTAAATATGACTGAATTTCGAACAGTGTACTTAATAATCATGTTTATAAATCGTTTTTTTATAAATTTAAATTTTTAAGTGTCCGTTAAAAATAAGGATTCGTATTGTAAAAATGATTTGTGATTCAATGAAATCGAAAATATGCGAAAAAATCGAGAACTGCAAGGGTTTCGCCCTTCTGAGAACGTATTTAGAGGTTTGGGTGAGTTTTATTAAGATATTATAAAATTTATTTAATTTCATCAAAAAATATTCAGAGCTTTAACGGTGTTAAAGATGTTTTCACTTCAGAAATATATTTGTTTTAGTGGACTACAATCGAATCATTGTTTTTGAGATCGCGTTCCAACGTTGAAATTTACAAAATGAATAAAGTTGAATAATTAAAAGTTCACTTGTGGTAGGACCTTTTGTGAGTCCGCACGGGTAGGTACCACCACCCCGCCTATTTCTGTCGTGAAGCAGTAATGCGTTTCGATTTGAAGGGTGGGGCAGCCGTTGTAACTATACTGAGATCTTAGAAATTATATCTCAAGGTGGGTGGCGCATTTACGTTGTAGATGTCTATGGGCTCCAGCAACCACTCAGCACCAGGTGGGCTGTGAGATCGTCCACCGATCCAAGCAATAAAAAAAAAGAAAAAATTAGGTCGCTCGCTGCTCACGAGTAGTTGATATAAAATTAAATTGAATATTGTGCTAATCAGGGACTATTTAAAAAATGAATCGTCTACAAATTATAGTACATATTATAATGGTAATAACGTCGAGATTAATTCGTAAATGTAGTTCTAGTTATGATCATTTTATCAAGATTCATTTACTAGCTACGTATTTTTACGTGAAACATTTTGTAGTTTTGTAGAGGCGATCGTTTAACCCGGTGTATTAGTGACACTAATAGATAAGCCGATGGACTATTAAGGCATGCTGAACACGTAGCGTTACTTTTTTTATTTTATTTTATTGCTTACATGGTTTGGACCTGGTGTTAAGTGATTACTGGAGCCCATAGACATCTACGACGTAAATACCACCACCCATCTTAAAATATAAATTAGTTGTAAGTTCTCAGTTTTTACAGTACAACGGCTGCCCAAGCCTTTGAACCGAAACGCATTACTGTTTCACGGCAGAAATAGGCAGGGTGGTGATACCTACCCGTGCGGACTGTTATCCGGATATCCGTCGGATCCGCTAGTATTAGTTTACAAGTCGTTGTGGCCCAAAGGATAAGACGTCCGGTGCATTCGTGTTGAGCGATTCAGCGGTGTTCGAATCCCGCAGGCGGGTACCAATTTTTCTAATGAAATACGTACTTAACAAATGTTCACGATTAACTTCCGCGGTGAAGGAATAACATTGTGTAATAAAAATCAAACCCGCAAAATTATAATTTGCATAATTACTGGTGGTAGGACTTCTTGTGAGTCCGCACGGGTACCACCACACCGCCTATTTCTGCCGTGAACCAGTAATGCGTTTCGGTTTGAAGGGTGGAGCAGCCGTTGTAACTATACTGAGATCTTAGAAATTATATCTCAAGGTGGGTGGCGCAGTTACGTTGTGGATGTCTATGAGCTCCAGAAACCACTTAACACCAGGTGGGCTGTGAGCTCGTCAATCCAGTTAAGCAATAAAAAAAAATTACGTACATAGAAAAAAACGCATCGCATCGTATGTAACTGCGAATTAACACGAAACTATATCGCCTTGGCCTCGTTGCTTGATCATTTATTGAGTTTCATATTTACGATAGAACCGATTTATTGAATTTTAGAAAAAAATATATTTAATTTAAACAAAAAGTATTACTTTAGTTTTAAATATCATACTAAATATGAAATAAGGAAGTATGTCATTAGAAATTAGATACATATTTAAACGGGTGGAATTAGTGTTAAAGCCTAAAATAAATTTGTTAAAAAGATGCACACACGTATGTATAGGTATATTATAGGCACGGTACTACGGACTCAGAAATAAGTTCCGTCGAAATTTCACGTAATTAATAAAAAAAAGCATAGAACCCATTTATTGTAACTAATCAACTGTTGATAGATAATTTCAAACTGATAGTTCAATCTACGCACAACCAGTCCCCAGTGTCACCACTGACATACATTACGAAGGGCTGTATCTAGAAGCTAAATTAAATTAATTTTTAATACGAGAATACAGCATCAACATAATTACGTTAATATTGAAGCTCAGATGAAAAAATACGATATAATATCTAAAACATAACAATAATTATATTATTATTAGCTGACCCGGCAGAATTCGTAGTGCCTCAATCGCAATCAATCAAATAAAATAAACTTAAAACAAACAAAAGGAATCCGTCCGACGGGGGGCACATCAAAGGGAAATCAAAATTGTTAATTCCGATCATTTTCATATTTATCTACCTTTTAAAACTTCTCTGGACTTCCACAAATAATTTAAGACCAAAATTTGCCAAATCGGTCCAGCCGTTCTCGAGTTTTAGCGAGACTAACGAACAGCAATTCATTTTTATATATATATATAGATATTGATAACAGGCAATACCATTTACATGTGCAATGGATTTAGAAAACCTGAAGCCACTGAAGTAAGCCACCAGTGGCATCCACAAACGCACACACGCGTATAAAGACATATCGAACAGATTTCTAGTGTGTTGTTGCTATTCAATTTTTAATTATTCTCACGCATTCTCCTTAATCAGTCATTGTGTATTTATATATATAAAATTGGAGTGTCTGTTTGTAATATGGGAATAACCGCTTTTTACTACATGCATATGAATATATATACGGTACACACAACAAAATAACATTTTTTACAATTTTTGTCTGTCTTTCTGTCTGTCTGTTTGTTCCGGCTAATCTCTGGAACGGCTGGACCGATTTTGACGAGACTCTCACTGATAGGTAGCTAGTAATGATATACGGAGTAACTTAGGCTAAATTTTTTAAACTAGCTTCGCCTAGCGGCGTCAACCTCGTTACGACAATAACCGCGGGTAATATCGCGGGACTCAGCTAACAATAATAAAATTAAATGTTTCCGCAGCAAAGCGAGGGCGGGTCGCTAGTGTATCTATAATTGATTCATTTTCAGAATGTCGAAATGTGTTACACGTTACGTTATTGTTACATATCACGGTTATTGTGGCGAACCTTGGGGGAGACCTCTACGTCTACCAGTGAACGTGCGTGGGATGAAAAATGTATCACAGAATTTACGTAACTTTAAAATTTCGCATTAAATTAACTCTACCATTGCGTACATTTGGTGTCTATCATCAAAGCTGGTGCGAATTTCGAAAGTAGGAAAATATTTAATTATCGATGGATGGCGACAGAATGTTGTAAAATTTCAAATATTTAAACTAGGTATGTAGATTTCGAAAATTAAAATATCTTACTCAGTATTGATACTGATACTAAAATTACTTATAGAAGTACTATTATTGCTACTGTCGTCCGCAGCCCTAGAAATAAAGCGTAGGGCTGTGCGGAAATACCGGAATAACAGGTACGTTGTCACTTCCGCGAGAACAGGTATTTTTGCCCATATCTATATGAACTTGAACCGAGAAATCTGTTACAATCATGATTTCATTTTACTTGTTATGGTAAAGATTAGGCGTGCTGTAGATTCTAGAAACGTCATTATAATAATGATTAATATTATAGATTTGAATTAATTTATGACGATTTTAATTGTATCATTTTTATATTAATAATCTTCAAAGAAACATTTTTTATTTTATTTTACGATTCCTAGTGTAGTCTCAAATTTAATTGTTTTAATTTAATTCAGTTCGATTGTCATTTTATCTTTTCGCATGTCTTCGTAATCACACATTGTTATTTCTCTTTATATTCAAGTAATTTAAACGATTTGTTTTATTTCGTCATTCAGTGACACGTCCATTACCTCCTTGCATTTTTTTTTTTTTATTTCCATGTTAGCCAGAACACGACCTACCTAATGGAAATCGGCAATATAAGAGAAACTGGTGAAGAAGTTCCGTCTTATGGTTATTGTTTGAACCGTTATCTGCGAACGAAATATGATTGTGAATTGAATTTAACTTTTCTGCAAGTTCACGGAGACAGCCTTCCAGAAATAGAATAGATACTTATAAAAATAAATAGATCCAGACTATTACGAAGACGTTGCAATTTGAAATCTTTTTATAAGAAAATAAAAAAGATCGTTCTCAATTAACCTTTGCTCTTTTACATAATAGGATAACAAATAATAGTCACTATACAAGACATTTTTTTTTTCTATTGAATTTCTACGAAATTCATTCACCATACATGACTGCCTTGTCATTAATCTATTAGCTTTCTAAAAACTGGTATTACGTAATCTAGTCCGGACGCTAATACGTAATGGAATAGTTTCACTTTTCGATAATCTCTGTGAAAATCTTTTTTTATGTTCACCTAATGTCGCAACACTAACGAGTTTTTATGGCTATGACAATTTCGAACGCTCTATGTGCGTAGATTCAGCAACAAATGTTGATAGTAAAATACGCAATAAGAAAAAAAAAACGTCCAGTGGCTGTCGACAAGTGGCGTTCTCCGCGGCCCGTGAAACCACAAGGCCTCGGATTTTCTGAGCGCCACGTCGCGGCCCAGTCTCTTTATCCTCCCGACGACGAGGGCCACTCCCGCTGTAGCGGTCTCGCTTGCGGACAATTTCACTAAACACACTAAGCACAAATTGAGTATTAACTCGTCGAGCTTCTCGCCGGATCTTCTCTACTAAGCAGGCGTACAACTCTAAATAAGTATATGGCGATTGCACTTTGAACCACAAATTGAGATAATCGCTTAGTATTGCGTTTGCCTCGGAATTGTACTAAAATCCCGCTTCACGGTCATCCCTCAAGGTTGATCGTGATCCAAGTTTAGAATCCGAGCCCTTAAACTTATAATATAAATATAATTAACACTTATAAAAAACTGCTCAAAGCATTCTTCAATATAGACTTTTACGATTTCGTTCATATTTTTTTCCCTACCTAAGCGAGGCCATTTCAGCGTAGCCTTAACTAGTAGGTGAGCTCACGGGGCTCAAACCGGAGTGATGCTAACACTGACCCTAGCAAGAGCAGTCCTTCGCAGAATCTACCACCGGATCGGAAATGCGATCCAATGAGAAGATCCGGCGAGAAACTCAGTGGGCTGTGTCTATGGGTTAGTTCGCTCGTCGAGCCCTTCGGTGAGACGGTGACCGATACTTAAAACCTGGTACCTGAAAGCCCTGTTAATGGATCGGGAGGATCCGTAATGACGTGTCTTCGTTCATAAGTTCGTTCATACACTACGAGCAATATAATCGAATCGTGTGAATTATTCTCACATTCAAACACGTGCTTTCTAACCAACAACAAAAACGTCTTGTATGTTTAAACAATATAATTTTTGTTTTCCGCGATTAACTAATCATCGTATCGTTTAACATTCGATTTGTTGTTGATATCAAGTTGATTGCCATAACTCGTTTGCACGATGAAAGTTGATGGGGTCCATTCAGATACAAGACACATAAGGTTTCTCTAAACACATGCAAACTAGAAGTTTTTTTTTTATTGTTAGATGGGTGGACGATCTCACAGCCCACCTTGCGTTACTGAAGCCCATAGACATCTACAACGTAAATGCGTCACCCACCTTGAGATATCAGTTCTGAGGTCTCAGTATAGTTATGGTCACAGAAATCTTTCGTTGGTAAAGCGTTATTGAAGTCTGCACTTGTGGGTACCACTATCCTGCCTATTTCTGCTGTGTAAAAATCTTCTATTACAACGATCTATTGACCATAGCCGAATCGTTTGATAGCATGAACAATATGATTAATGTTGCAATGTTCTAATGTAGCGCGCGTCTCGTCTAAACGACATTCGTGATCGTCGTGCGAATGCGAGGTACGTACTGAAACGTACTCTGATGAAATAGTTACGAGAAAAAAAAGAAAAGAAGATTAGGATCTATGACGCAATTGAATCTAGATCAGAATCGTCTTAAGATGGGCGGGAACGTTGCGATGTCTGTTAGTGTCCTATTTAACACCAGAGTCGCGAACACAGTCATATATCTAAATCAGTACAGTAAAAGGTCCTTATTCGCGCTTCCTTTATTCGTGTTTTCACTATTCGCAGATTAAAAAAATGCGACCCAATTCCTATATTCGCGGCTAAAGATTTCATTATTCGCGGATCTTTTTTTATTTTTATGATTGAAGTATTACTGGTGGCCCGGAGGCCTTTCCAGTTGCATCAGGACAGGTGGGCGAGCAAAGGCTCAGCCAGGCCACGGATCTAATAGGTAAATCTGTACATACACATTGATAAAAAATTCCAATATCGAATATCCTTTGTAAACGCGCTTTTCCATATTCACGGCTTCGGTATTCACGGCATATTTACGGAACATATATCCCGCGAATAAAATTACTTTATGTCTACTACTAAAAACGGAAATATTTCAATTTGTTAATTATTCGCAGAACTCAAGTGGTAGTGAACCGCGGTCGCGCAGCGCGACCCCCGACTCACTGGACTCTCTGCCGAGCGGCGGCTCCGGCAGCCCCCCTGCCGAGTGGGCCGACGGACCTACACCCACCGACTTCGTGTGAGTACCTTTAGTTGTGAAGACGACCAGCTTTAATTATTATTATTATTAAATTCTTTATTTCAGATAATGATCCATATAAATGTTAGTAACAATTTCTTAAAAATAAGTTAGTAAGGATACAGTAATAAAAGAAAACAATATACATACTACATATGATAGCAATAGTGGCATTACGAGCAAATTTTGTGGACCTCTCTGCAATGATTCAGAAGAGGTCCATCTAATCTAGAGAATATCATAGCCAGGATGCTGTTGGAGCTATCATCTACCCTGCAGAGCAAGGACGCGCATCGCTTTCTTAATATGGCATAGAAATCGTCGGTACGCGCCTCCGCAAACATGCGCGATGCGCTGCAGAGTCGAGGCAGCCCCATCATCATCCTAAATCCTAATCCTTTAATGCAGCCGTCAGCACTCTAGTGGCAAGACAGCGAAGCACCAAGCAACCAACTACGCGCCAACTAGATAACGTTTATTGTAACCACGGAAATATTTTGGTGGTAGGGAGTTTTCGAAGTTTGCACTTGTGGGTACCATTATCCTACCTATTTCTGCTGTGATAAATTGCGTTCCGGTCTGTAAGGTAGTGGAGATGTTGAATACAATTACGTACAGGCATGGAAACAGTACACGGATAAATAGATAGGGCATAACATTGGTATTTTTTTTTTTTAAATGTATAAGATAAAGGAATGAGTATATCAGAGGAAGTGTGAAAGTAACCCCGGTAATCTACAAATTAAAGAGCGGATGGTTAGCGTGGTATGGACATGTGGAGCGTAGAGAGGAGATGCATGTTACTAGGAGATGCATGGAAATGATAGTGCAAGGTAGAGGGGAAGAGGTCGACAGAAGAAGACATGAATGGAATCCGTGAATGATGATATCAGAGCAAGAGGAGTAAGTGTTGAGATGACGGTGATAGAAGAGAATGGTATAGAAAAAATCGCTGTGCCGACCCACCTAGTGGGATAATGTGGAGACAAAGAGAGTTTATTTTTTGAGAATTGTGATGACGCCAATGAAGGAACGTAAGATAATTTGATTGGCCTAGTAGTGAACACTAGATAGTGGTCCTCGGTACTACTATAACTTAGGGGCGTTTTTGTACTAGATATTGTGGTATTTAAGTTTTGGGTCTAACTTTCAAGTATCGCGTGTGGTGGATGTTTCCAAGATTCCCAAAAGAAACTTAGTTTTGCTCGTTTTGATCTTGGGACGTTTTTACATTTCCAGCGAACGGTACCCGGGTACAGGCGCGCACAGTCCGTTGGCTCGCACGCCGTCCGCACCCGCCGCCCCGCGCCGCGCCCCCGTGTCGCCCCCCCTTCCCATGCACGAACTCTTCAAGCCCAACGACCTGCACTGGGCGGACATTGCGACCAACACAGGTCAGTACCATAAACATTGCACATTTATCAATAATTATAGGGTAAACCGTACAATTATTGACACCCACACCTACTACTGCTTTAAAAATCGATAAAAGCCTTTTAATTCACTCGGCAAATATTTGAAATACTTAGGTTATGTATTCATAGTGGGAATGCATCACGCTCTAAATGGATTTCAGCAATAGAACCAACTTCTATAGATGGTCACTGATGTGTTCTCACGTGTCTGATATATAAAAGTTTACCTAAAAGATTTTCCATGTTTCAAACGAGAGCTTGTGGAGAGTACTTAACGGTAGGCAGCGGCTCGGCTCTGGCATTGCTGAAGTCCATGGGCGACGGTAACCGCTCACCATCAGGTGGGCCGTATGCCCGTCTGCCTACAAGGACAATGAAAGAAGTGAAGCAAATGCAAATATATGTACAAAAGTGGTCTCATCTTCAAAACCCTAAATAAAATAAGAGCTTAATACTTACTTCCAGAGGGAATCGAACTGCTAGGCTATCAACGATACGGCACTGTCCAGGGGCCGAGAATAGGGAAGGAACGAATCAACGGATCTATACTGAAAGGCAATGATCCCTTCATGTAAGTCAATCATCTCTTGCATTCTCAATTCATATCTTTCTATATCGCTCAACGAACTGCCTTTTCACATGATAGACCACGATTCACTGGAGTCCAGGTTTCAATTGTACCACATGTGGTTTCTATCTAAAGACCTAAAGACATGACATGTGACATGACAATGGCAACTGGTCAATGGCAACTGGCAATTAAGGAGAGTTAAATATAGTGAGTCCTCTATCGGCGTATGATAGGGCTGATCTAATAGGAGGATGTGAATGAAATCGTTTATCTTCCTTATTAGTTGGATCTATGACTAACATATAAATACTGATGTCGGGCCATAAATAGTACTGAATGCTTTGTGTACAACTTAAATTTCTAAATTTCTCTTTTCTTTTTCCTTTGTTCACTCTCTACTTGTATGTGATTTTGATGGCGGAAACATGTTTGGTTATTGCTTTAGATATTTTTTTTATTAAATATTATATTTTTATTTTGTACTGTTGGTTTCCCAAATAAATAAGTAAAAAAACAAACAAAAAAAATATGTGTGGTGTCGTGGGACACCGGATAGGAACGAAGCTCCTTATTATAAAAATATTAATTTAAAGTTCTATTCGAGGTATAAGGAAAATAAAACTGGAGGCTTCGCAACAACCCACGGTCATTCGGTAACGTGCGAACTTATTGTGGTACATTTCATTCACGGTTGTTTGCATAAGAGTTAGTGTATTGCGCAAACGAATGCTCTGAGATCGTGGTCAACGAATGATAAAAAAATATGTTATTTTTTTAATTATTTTACGTTACGGACGTATTTTCCCGGTTAGGGTACCCCCTCCGCATCGTCCCATAAGGAGCTTCTTTCCAAAAAATATTAAAAAATATAGTAATAGAAAATGTAAAATTCCAGCAACAACAAGCACGCTAGCGTATCTCGAGCGAAGAGTGTGGTCTCCGCGCAGCAGCCGCTCAGCTTTGAGCACAAATTCAACTTGGACAGACAGATGATGAGTCACGACGAGGTGAGGAAACGAGAATATCAATATTCTATTATGCACAAACACCAGCCGTTGGCTTAGACAGAGAGAAGAAAGGGTTCTTTGATAGTTCAGAGGCAAACCAGTCCTTCGATGAAATTGAATGTGGCTGGCGGCTCCCGACATTACAACAACTGTAAAATAATATTTTTGTAATCGTATTTAGTTTTGTAATGCACGCAATGTACTGCAAATTTGTTATGTTATAATGATCAGGTCAATAACCCCACGGTATTATACATCATAGATTGCGGGTGTCGTAAAATATACGTATTTGAATGTGACGTGTAAGCGATTCCCGCTAAGGTTATTAAGAATTGTGCTGGAACTGATCTCAATGTTCAATGATTTCTAAAAAATATTAACTGGTGGTAGGACGTCTTTACTGGTGGTACGACCTCTTGTGAGTCCGCACGGGTAGGTACCACCACCCCGCCTATTTCAGAGTAGCAGTAATGCGTTTCGGGTTGAGTGGGGCAGCCAGCATATAAACAACAACAAAAAAATATTACGAAGGCTAGCATATTATTATTAAAAGAGAATCTGAGTTTTTGCCACAATAGTTAATTTATAGGTAGCTAGCATTACATAGGGGTGTTGTTCCCAGGATTGGCCGGAGGCGGACAGTAACGTGGACATAGAGAGCATAAGCGAGCCTCAACTGAAGCGCTTGCAGCCGCTACTGTGGTTGGAGCTCACGGCGATATTCGACAAGTACTCGCTGCCCTTCCAGAAGAGGAAGCCACCCAAAAAGAAGCGGAAGGAAGGTACGAGAAACCTAGCAGGAAATAGGAAAGCTTTTTCTTAATAATTTCAACGATCCTCTATCACGGACCTTATTGTCTTAATAATCTTATACTGGTGGTAGGACCTCTTGTGAGTCCGCACAGGTAGGTACCACCGTCCTGCCTATTTCTGCCGTGAATTGTGTTTCGGTTTGAAGGGTGGAGCAGCCGTTGTAACTATACTGAAACCTTAGAACTTATATCTCAAGGTGGGTGGTGCATTTATAGATGTTTATGGGCTCCGGTAACCACTTAACACCAGGTGGGCTGTGAGCTCGTCCACCCATCAAAGCAATAAAAAAAATGCTAGTTATCCTTCGTAGTATGTGTTATAAGGGCTGGTACATTGCAGAGGGCTCCGTGTTCGGCGTGTCCTTGGAGACGCTGGTCCGCAAGGACATGATCCTGTGGGAGGAGACGTGCAGCGCGCCCAGCGTGCTGTGCTGCGTCACGCGCGCGCTCCGGGCCCGCGCGCACCACGAGGGGCTGCTCAGGGTCTCCGGGAACAAACAGAAGGTAACAACATGCTCCTCCACCACACTAGTTCTAGTGAACGTAATTATAGCGGTAGGCAGCGGCTTGGCTAGCGGTAAGCAGTGGCATGGCTCTGCCCCTGGCATTGCTGAAGTCCATGGGCGACGGTAACCACTCACCATCAGGTGGGCCGTATGCTCGTCTGCCTGAACTGTGAATAAAAAGTAAAAAAAACCATCAGTTTGCTATCGAGAAAAAAAAACCGTATTTAATTTCACCTCGTCTCAATCGATTTTTTTTTTTTCACTCATTGCTATAACGCCTGAAGGGAACAGCTGATTTCACTCAATTTTAACTTCACCGTAGCTCAGTTTTTATCGCACCGCCCAACTAAACCATTTCTCCCCAAACAATCTTACCTAACATCGCCGAAACACAGACGTCGGAGAATTTTGTTCGTGATTTATATCTGCTTTAAATAGACATTGCTTTATTAATATAGATTGACTGGTGGTAGGACCTCTTGTGAGTCCGCACGGGTAGGTACCACCACCTGCCTATTTCTGGCGTGAAGCAGTAATGCGTTTCGGTTTGAAGGGTGGGGCAGCCGTTGTAACGATACTGAGACCTTAGAACTTATATCTCGAGGTGTGTGGCGCATTTGCGTTGCAGATGTCTATGGGTTCCAGTAACCACTTAACACCAGGTGGGCTGTGAGCTCGTCCACACATCTACGCAATAAAAAACAAATAAAAAAATATTTAATAGTTAAGTATTGAAATGAACAAGTGGAATGAACAATGAACAACGTGCGATCTATGGGATTGACATCAGAGAGGCCACATGACTTTTCGTTAGCTTATGTTAATATGTTAGGCGGGGGACCCTCGAAATTCTGATACCAAAGTCTACCTGAATTGAATAAAAACATTAGTTTCTTCCCTTCGTCTGATATAAAATGAAAATAACAATGAAATTGCCAGAACCATTCCAAATTTTAAATGATTTAGGTATGTTAGGCGGGAGACCCTGGAAATTCTGATCCGAAAATCTACCTGTATTGAATAACAAAGATTATAGTTTTTCCCTTTATAAATATAATACTAGCCGTATTCGCCCGCTTCGCTGGGCATTTAAAATTAACATTATTATTTCTCACCTCCACAAAGATACTCATCATTAACGCCCCCACAACTGGTGTAGGGAGTCCAACACTCATATAAATATTAGCCTATCCATTAAGTACATGTATTTTCTACATGGATNAAAAAGTTAAATTAGATAAAGTTTAAACAAAAGGATTTTATTATCATAGACATGAATACAAAACAGATGGCGCGTAACGGAAAAATGTGACGCGTAACCGAAAAATGTGACGGTAAATTTTTTTCCAACGCCGATAAGGAAGTTTCACTTCAAAAAAGAAAATTAATAAAAATAAAGTATAACTTCTTACGCGCGTACATAAGTACACGCACCCTTTTTTATTTTGTCTATTTAGAGTTTCTTCAGGTTTAAATGTGTAACAATGGTGATTTATTAACTGTTAGATATCTGTGAAAGTGCACAAATAATGGAAAATAAAACAAAGTCGCTGGACGTAACTTTTCGGGATCCTCCAAAAAGTCCACTGAAAAAATCTCAGTAAATGACCACCATTTTACTGAGATTATATTTCATCCCATATTATCTCGTCTCATTTCATTTCATTTCACTGCATAATATCATTTTTCATAATATGAATATAAATTAACATAAGACATGACTTAAAGGTCTAAGTTACCAGGTCATAAAATCCTTTAAAATAAAAAAATAACCGGGTGTTACAGCGCTGAGTGGATCGACCCGCGGGCGCGCCCTCAACCTGCTGGTGCTGCTGCTGGGTCCGGAGGCGCGCGCCACGCTGCGGGAGCTGCTGCGGCTCGCCAACGACATCGTCGCACACGCGCACGCCAACAAGATGAACGAGCACAACGTCGCCATGATCATCGCGCCCACGCTCTTCCCGCCCAGGTCAGATACGAACGCTTTTATCTATGTACTAGTGGTCCCGCAGTAGTGGAAATTCGACTATAATTAATTGAAATTATAAGTTTGAACATTATTAAGGTTCTGTTGTCAAAGAGTATCATACTTCTACATTCTTCAATTTGGAAATCGAATTAATTTGTCAAGTTTCCATTCCAGCCTTCTGATCAAGCAATCAGACAGCCTGGAGACGCAGCTCGCGACCGCCGCCAACAGCTGTCACGTTACTGAAGCCATGATGCGGCACTCCGAACAACTCTGGACCGTGCCGCCCTCCCTCCTCGCCGCTGCTCAGAGGAAGCCGCAAGCTCATCGCAGATTACAGCACACTTGATATACAGAACAACTAGAATTGGACTGTTATTGGGTTCATTTGGCCTTGCGAAAATGGCGTAATTTTTAAAACTGACGCACTTTGAATTATTGCTGTTAAATAGTGAAATATTTTTATGACCATTCTTTTAACTGTCAAAAATTTTTAATTTTCGTTTATAGCGAGACTAGCGTCCCGCCCTCGCTTCGCTTCGGAAACTAATTTATTATTGATTTCTCCACTATTTAATGGATGTTATTATACATATAATCCTTCCTTCCTTCTTCAATCACTCTATCTATTAAAAAAACCGCATCAAAATCCGTTGCGTAGTTTTAAAGATTTAAGCATACATAGGGACAGAGAAAGCGACTTTGTTTTATACTATGTAGTGATTTACTATATTCCATTATGGTGTTCGAGATTTTGCTGTGTTTATTATTTAATCGAAAATTAGCATGCTGTTTTAAGTTTTTTGTGAAGACTTTCGAATATTGGACAAGTCAAAAGTGATGCTTCTGGCTTGTGTGGACCAATTTAATTTTAATATTATTTTAGTAAGGTGCTCACACAAGTATTATTATAATCAATTAAGTATAATGTTAATCTAAAAGTGGCCTCTTGAAATTATGCTTTCTTGCTTTCTTGTACCTATTTATATGTTTTAAGCAAATATTCTCAGTAAGAGATTTAAGAACGTTATGTAACTCATTTTGTCGAATTTCGTCACGCATAACATTTTTCAACGCCCCAAAGGAAAGCATAATTTCGTTGATATTCGGTCATTTTGTGTGCTGTGCTTCATTTTATTTATAAACAATGTTCCGTGGTATAAGTTATCAATGTAAAAATTTCAAAAACACGACATCACACGTCACTTAATTATTTGTAATTTTTTTACGTTTAACCCTTTGATCGTTTTACGAACAACTTTTTAAGTAGATAGTGTGTATGCTGTTTTATATTTTTGTTTCTTTTTAATATACACATTGCGTAAACATGTGAATGAGATGCCAAATAAACAGTTTTATATAATTTAGTTGATAAAGACTAACATATTTGGAATGGGGCTGCGCCTTAAGTTACTTAGAGATTCGGTGCCATTGTTTGGTTGTTTTTGCAAAAAGTTACCGTTATAAAAATTTAAATATGGTGGCGTTGATGCTTAACGTGTCTAGGTTTTTTTTTTAATTTATGATTTCTGAAAATTTTGTTTAAAAATTTCTACTCGCTCTCACAAGATGTATGATAATTGAGAACTTCACAAGTAGTATTTTTTATTGGTCATTCAGAATTCAAATATCAATTTAAGCAATCTAATAGAGTCAGCAGTCATACTCATAGTTGAATTTAGTTGATTACTACATCATCGTCGCCAAAATAAATGGTTGTTTCGATTTGGTGCCTTCATATGATATTATATACTCTACATCACAATGTAAATAAATTTTGTTAAGTGTGAATTGTATAACACGATATATTTTGAACGATTTATGTATAAAATTTTACCAATACTTTGACTAGGCATGCAAAGACTGACTTGGTGTATTATTGATAAAAATATATTATAATAAATATAAGTGTATTCGCCTTTGGTAATAAAATAAAGACATATTATTTGAACATTGTTTTATTTCTTTTCTATGCAAAAACAGCGCTTCGTGATCTTTCTGTTGTTTTTTTTAATTTTTCTTCAAGTTGTAACCTCTTTTAAAAAAAGTAATATATCTTATAGAAAAAAGTGTCATTATGTAGAAATTCTTAAAATTAAATTATTTTTATGAGTAGTATTAGGATTCATCATTAAAATCATTTAATACCATAATAATGACAATCAATACTTCAAATTCTTTATCAAATATACTGCCTCATTATCTGCTCCACATAAAATCCTTCCCTTTTCACAATCTAAAGAGTTCAGAGCTTGATGAAATGATGGCATTAAAGAGTTAATCATCATTGTATTTTTATCTTGTAAAGGCATCCATACCAGCTGGTTGTCTGGTCCTTTAGTGCTTTTTGTAATTGTTTCCATGTTCCAATCCCACAGTTCACCCGAAACTGCACAAGTTAGTAATTTCTGGGGATTTTCTGGGTGGAATTGCATTTCGGTAACTCCACCTGTGTGTGCACTAAGGAGGGATGTAGGAAATGTGTTCATGCGTAGGTCCCAAATAGCAACAGATCCTGATTCACTGCCTGCTAGTACTATATGAGGTTGTGTTGGATGATTGATGATGCATGTCGCGGCTAACTCATCTCCAGCTAGTAAGAATGATGCAGCGGGTTTGTCTACTTCAGATCGAAGGTCCCAAATTTTGATGTGGCCTCGAATGTTACCTGTTATAACCTGTAAAAATAAAATTTTATTTGTTTCTTTTATTTATATACCCTCTGGTTCAGCCAGCTCATGTAGCTTATAATTTCATAAAATAATAATAAACATTTTTTATTCTTTGATAGAAAGAAGAAAACATATTTTCTTTACTTTTATTGTTTTTATAACAATCAGAATAATAAATAAAAATAATAACATTTTATATGAAGATGTCAATTTTGTATGGGAATCAAGAATAAGATAAAAGAATTTCCGAGTAGTTCATTCAGAGTTGATAAAAATATATGAATAAAAAATTTTAAAAATTTGATACCGTTTTTTCTGTAATTAAAACTAATTTTATGATTTATTGTCTCGTATTTTTATTGTACTTTAATTATTTCTATTAACCAACAAGTAATTTTGATATTTGTCTTTGAATCATTATGTATGTCTATGAACCGAAGAAAACATCATTTGATTTGGTCATTCTATATTTAAGAACTATACTTAAAAACTAAAACTTACTCTCTGTTAATCAAAAAGTTAGAAATTAAGCATTTACCTCTGTGTGTTTTAAATAACAAATGGAATGCAATGAACAGCTATCAGCCCCTTTGATTGTACGGTTGACTTCACCCCTTCGGCCACTCAATATGTTCACATTGCCATCCTCACCAATACTAGCTATGTCTCCTTCATATGTATCCAAAGATGTTGCAGAGCATTTTGTATTACTGAAATAAATTGTTTTATAAAAATAAATTGTTGCAGAGCATTTGTTACGAGTTAAGAATTAGTTATGTGTGCTATTTTCAAATAATTCAAACACTTATCAGTTATTTCGTTTTTTTTAAAAGAACTGATGGTGTAGCAGTTTTCTAGAAAATGACATGATTGGCAGCTTCATTGGTAGGAATATTACAAAAAGTACACAATTATACATTTTTTTCTTTGGTGGTTACAATATCAGGTAGTAAAACTTTGATGTTTCATTGTAACATTGGTGTAGATATTTTGTGGTATATATTAAAATTCTTGTATTAAAAAGGCATAAAATTCATCTTAAAAATTAGAAAAAAAGGAACAGAAATTGTTATTGTTGATAAAATATTAGATATAAATTGTTGAAAACATTTTATAGTATGTTTACTCAAATAACGTAATTTACATCTTAAGTTACTTGATGATAGAATTGGTAATTAATGATTTGCTGACTGGTAGAATGCATTGAGAGTGATATGGATAGCTGGCTCGATGTTTGGTGTGTGTGCCTATTGTTACCATGCTGTGCCAAAGCAGTTACAACATAACACCTGACTTCAGTATGCTCTGGTTTTCGTGAATTGTAGTCTTAACTGCTTTAACCTTTTAGTAGTTTAAAAAAAACTAGAACCTCACCCGTAGTTATGTAAAGACTTCCAAGAAAATATTTCTTTAAGTGGTGTTTGTTTATCATAAGCACTAATTTCAAGTATTTTTACATCACCATTAGATATTGAAACGGCTATTTTGTTTTTTTCCGTGAATTTTATTTGTGTAACATCATCATCTACTGGATACTTGGTAAGGGCACGAGGATATTCTACCTCTTCGTCTTCGTTAACACTTTCAAAAGTCCAAACTGTTATTAAGTTGACCTCATCATCCCAACTACCGGTGAGAAAACATTTTGTTTCAGCATAATCTTCAGGAATCCATCTGACTTTATTTATTTTTTGAGAAACAAACGTTCCTTGAATATCTATTGACATTTTTGTATACAAATGGGTCATAAAATGAACAAGAACACAACTTATGATAAATAAACACACTTCCCTGTTTCTGGTGCTTTTCTGTGAGGTGTAAAGATTTTTTTAAAAGGATTTTATGACCAGGTAACTAAGACCTTTAAGTCATGTTTTATTTTAATTTTAAGTATTATTTTCATGAAAAATGATAATATGGAGTGAAATGAAATGATGATTAAACTGAGACATTAATCAACTGGGATGAAATTAAATTAAATGATATGAGATGATATGGGATGACATACAATCTCAGTAAAATGGTGGTCATTTACTGAGACTTTTAAGTGGACTTTTTTGAGGACCCCGAAAAGTTACGTCCAGCGGCTTTGTTTTATTTTCCCACATTTGTGCACTTTCACAGATATTAAACAGTTAATAAACCACCATTATTACACATTTAAACCTGAAGAAACACTAAATAGACAAAATAAAACAAATCACACAACTTCACTCCTCGCGTTCCCGCCAAAAAGTCTAACAATACTTATGTGTATACCCATAGACATTTAAACCTACCGTTCTATCGTTCATTAGCGTTAACTTTTTTATTGACTTATATTTAAGTTCTCGAATATATTAAGTGTATAATCTATGATTTAAGTTATTTAGCCAATCAGAGTGCACTTGGATATCTATAACTTTTAAAATCACAGATGTTGAAGATAACAAATTTTTGTGTTCCTGCTTTATTTAATGTGAATATCATAGCTGTAACTGTAAATCACTCTAGTACAATTAAATTCAAATTGAAATTTTCTATCCACCTTCACTTTTTATTCAGACTATCATTTTATAACCATGGATGACGAAGTTGTTTTGCTGCCAGCAAAAGCCGGTGAATTTATTGCTAGATATGCCAAGCATGTACAGATACATGAAGAAGGATTAGATAAAGCATGTAAAGAGGTAAACTTTATTTAATTTATATTGTAGTTCCAGTTTAATCTATTAAGGCTAATAGTATTAGAAAAGAAAAACAATAAACATGTTAATCTTTATTGCATACTGGTTTGAAGGGTGTAACAACCTTAGACTTTATCTTTCAAGGTATGTGACAACTTTTGCATTGTGACATCATAAGATGCAGTAACTAACATTTAACATCATGTGGGCTGTGAGTTCATCCTCAGACAAAGGGTAAAGGTAAAAAAAAATAGTGTTAGATCTTCAACTAATAAACATTAATTTACAGTTACTTACAATCAAATTATCTTCATTGTTTATAGATACTCACGTCAATGTCTACAAGTAAACTGGAAATCCCTGATGCAGGAACAGGTATACATCCTAATGTTGAACACCCAAGGGCTGTGGACTGGGTGTTTGTTGCGGACATGTTAAACTTCTGTTTCTGGTCATACAGTGGAGCTCGGAAATGGACTGTTGGTGGACATTCTGGGTATTATGCTTTGGAGGCTGCCCTTGATAGAGCAATTAAGGTATTTATTATAATAATGCAAATTGAGTGCTCAGATAACATTATTGCACTGTTAGACCTTGTCAAAAGCACATTTAATTGACAATAATAACAACAGTATTCTTTATTATGTATAAAACAAGCATTATTTTTAAAGAATACTGAATTTAAGCTAAGGAAAAAGAGCTGTTATAAAATGAAAGCTGGTATATTAACTCTGTTTCAGGAAGGTTATGATATAACAAACCCAGAATACTATTCGAAGATAACTGCAGAGCAACTAAAAACGATAATGAGAGGGGATAATGAAGTTAAAATACCATTGTTTACGGAAAGAATGTCTGTGCTACATGAAACTGGTGCGATTTTACTTGAAAAATATAATGGAACTTTTACGACTTGTTTGAAAGAAGCTAACAAGTCAGCCTTGAAACTACTTGAGATTATTGTGAACAATTTCCCTTCGTTTAGAGATGAGGCTGTCTACAAAGGACAAAAGTTAGGTATTTACAAAAGAGCACAGATTTTGGTGGCTGATCTGTGGAATTTCTTTGGTGGTAAATCGTGGGGTGAGTTTGAGGATATTGACAAGATCACTATGTTCGCTGACTACAGAGTGCCCCAGGTTTTAGTGTATTTTGGAGCATTGAGTTATAGTGACGAGTTAATGGAAAAATTGAAAAACGGTATGTATTTATTTCAATTTATAATTTGAATTTGAACTTTTTTATTATTGCCCAAGATTGGTTAAGAAGCTCATAATCTATCTGAGATTTAGTGAGTGTTAATTACAAGAGACATAAAAAATGTGTATATTCAATTAAGGGATATGGTTGAAATCTTTAATGTTTTGTAAAACCAATTGACTGTAAAAATGAGCTTTTTATTTCATTTACTTATTTAGGAGTCTTCATTTACTGCATCATCACATTTAACCTGAACAATTGATATTTTTATCTTTTAAAACATCCACCGTTGATAACTTTTATTGTCCTAGATATACTACTGCAAAGTGGCTCAGAAGAAGAAATAGAAATACGCGGTTGTTCAATCCACGCTATAGAATTAATCAAGAAGAGATTAGAGGATGCATTGAAGAAGAAAGGTGGAGACATAGAATTACCGAATTCAAGTTTAATAGATTACTATTTATGGTGCTACAGAAGGAAATATGCTGATGAAATGGAGAGTATACCTTTTCATAAAACTTTAGGTATTTATTACTAGTTTTTGTGATACTTGAAAAGAGATGATTTAGCAGCATTCAGAAACTTTTGGTCTACATAATGTTTATGCTGCAAAACAAAAAGTTATTGATTGTATCTAATAAAATAAATTAGTTTATTCGCTTTTACGGACAAACTCATTGCTTATCTAACGTTTAGGTTTTATTGCAGCCCATGGACCTAGTCATGTTAATTACCATCTTGTGGTCAGATCAAAGACCAATTATATTGTATGGCTCTTCAAATTGAATGATGGCGTCATGGGTGAATCATGCATGGCGTCAGGTTTAATAATTCTTTGGTGCTATGTATTCATTAGATGTAAGTGGAATTTAGAGTTCAGTGTTGGAAATATCTGTTTTATTTAGGTATGTAAATTACAAGTATTTCCTTGATTGTTCCTAAACATTTATACTGCAGGCCAAAATGAAATAGGTGTCGTGTTGACATGATTCTTTTAAAAATTCGTGTTATAATACTAATAAATTTAAATACAATAATGCAAATGCCAAAATTAGGGAAATTGGAGAATTGTTTGACATGACCCCTGCATACTTTTCCATCGCACCGCATTTTGCTTATTGGGCTTTAGGATTATCATCCATGACTCTCATTGATATTTCCATCTTTTCCAACGATCTTGAATAGAGTTGTAAGCAGTAGGCACCACCTAATTGCTGATGTTTTTTTTTCTTAGATTTGTGGACGAGCTCACAGCCCACCTGGTGTAAAATGGTTACTGGAGCCTATAGACATCTACTACGTAAATGCGCCACCCACCTTGAGATATAAGTTCTAAATGTTCTAATGTCTCAAGTTTAGTTACAATGGCTGCCCCACCCTTCAAACCGAAACGCATTACTGCTTCACGGCAGAAATAGGCAGGGAGACGGTATCTATCCACGTGGAGTCACAAGAGGTCCTACCGGCAGTAATTACGCAAATTATAGTTTTGCGGGTTTGATTTTTATTACACGATGTTATTCCGTGGTTATTCACCGTGGAAGTCAATCGTGAATATTTGTTAAGTACGTATATCATTAGAAAAATTGATAGCCGCCTGCGGGATTCGAATACCGTTGCATCGCTTAGCACGAATGCACCGGACGTCTTATCCTTTAGGCCACGACGACTTCAAATGATGACGGTGATCACTCAACATTAGAATGGCCATATGCTAGTTTGCCTATTAACGCAATGAAAGATTACAAGTAATCTGAATTTATGCCCCAATAAAACGAATTTTATCATTGTTGAAATTTAACCCAATAGAATTAACTAAAGGACCTTTTTTGTATACTTATCTGCCAGTAGCCTTGAGGGGCGTGTGAGGAATTCAGCCATTAAGAGTGAGCCAGTGCCAGACAATATAAAAAAAAAAAACAGGAATACATTTGTCGTTTCTATTTATTTACAACTTTGGCATTAGCTTAAATATGATCACTTAAATAAATGGAAAAAATGTGAAAGATTACAAAATGGCACCAGTTATATACACCGTAACCTAATAATAATTTATGAAACAGAATGTGATTTTATTATAAAAAAAAAAAAAATTGTCAAGTTTTTTTTATGATCGTTGCAATTTTAAGTCAACTAAACTTGATCTTGACAATTAAATATGACCGCATCATCACTTTGAAACGCAATGTTCAACTATTTTATTTCTCAATCGTGCTGTTACTAAAATTGTTAATCATTCGCCAATATGCTTAACATGTATGACTATTTGGGACATATGCCCATAAGTCGTCTAATCACCTTTTTTTTTTAATTAAATCACAGTCTGTGCACATTGTGACCATCCGCAATGAAATAATTGTAATCATGAAAAATAAAAAGGCACCTAACACCCACACAGTAATGAGCTACAAAATTTATTTTGACAAACAAATTGTAGTCGCGGAATACCGTTGTATAGACAATTAACGCAATGTACTTAAAAATCACGCAGTAATTCTAATATTAATTACAGTACTCGTCAGTCAGAACTGTCAGCTTTTATAAACGTCAAGCCAAAAATGTCAATGATAATGAAATTAAACATGTAATGTAAAAGCTATTTCTGAAATAAACTGTATTTGTTATGTATTGATTGTTTTTTTACTATGTTTATGTAATAAATACATTTTTACATTATAAAACAGAAATAAATTTGTAGATTATTTACGAATTGGTAGGTACAGTTACAAGTGCTATACAGTTAGACGGCATGTGAGTTTAATGTGACCACATATAGTGGCGTCTTATTTCTGCATTGCTAGAATTTTATTAGATTATAGATACTTTATGGATCCTGAGTTGGATATTTTAAAATTTTGAAATAAAATATTTGTAGACGTGGGATTTTACTTATTAAATAACTTGTACTATGATCGCATTAACACAGCACCAGATCATTTATTGCTAAATTTATTTTTTAAACTCTCGAAGAACGCTAATTTATTTTTTAACGTGCCCGGCTCCGGCATCGGACTTCCTGGTCTACTGGACTCCTTAGTCACCTCCTCGGTTCCTTCTGGGATCTCTTTGGAGCCTCCTGGTACAGTGATCGGAGTTGGCATAGACAATTTAAGTTCGTCACGAAACTCTTTTGAAATGCTCCTGGCTGTTAGACTATGCATATACACTTGCTTTGTTTGTGTGTCCTTTAAAATATTCTCTTTGCTCCGTCGTCGTCGTGAGTAGGGCTGCGGCACCTGAAATTAGGCCAGTTTATTTGTATTAGTAAAAAATATAGAGGCGCATGTATAATTATGATCGAAAGTAAGAAATTGCTGTTAAAATAATGATAAAATTGCTCCTTGTGATTATTATGTAGGAGTTCGTGCTTATTATTATTTAGGTGATATAATAATAAAGTCGAATTCAAAATATTTGCTATAAAGTATTAGGTTATTCAATAAATAAAAAAATTCAAAACAATTTAAATTTCTACCAAATAGGTTTTTTCGTGGCATAGCTGATGCCTATACAATAGAATCAATAGAATCAGTATGACCTTTTTTGTGAGATCGAAGCTATCTTCCTGTAAACCCAACAGTAAAATAGTCTACCTCGATAAAACGGATTCAATTTGAATTTGTTCTATTCGAAGTTCTAATCTCTTATAGCAGATCTGTATCGCTGACATTACAAAAAAATAATATTCAAAGTGTAAATACCGGGAACGAGTAACGATAAGGTAACGTGTGATTCATTCAAGATAAAACATGTTTGTAATCGAGATCACGATAACTTCTAAACTAGTATGGCACATATAATGTTTTAAAATTAAAATGTAGCTTGTATTTGATGTCGTGGTAAAAGAAATTTTTTTGCAGTACTTTTCATATACCAATCCTCAATACCTTCTTGTAGGCACCAATTTCTTAAGGGAAATTATTACTTAGGTAGCATGTTTTTGCGAACGATTTTCCCGTCGAAAGACAGAAAAAAATGCATTAGTTACCGATAGGGCGTATTGTAAGCTGGCATAGGTAAGCACAAACCAGTCTGTAGCATTTCCAAGTCTACATAGATTAACCTGTCACTGGGTGGCATTCGGCACCTACGTACTTACCCGTGTGCTTAGAGCGAGTTTTTTAACGTTCTCGATAGCGTAAAAGTTAACTTGTTGTATTCAGTGAGAGCAGCGTCACTAGCGGCACTTAGACAAACGTTCCAACTCCATACAAATTTGAGTTAACTTTTACGCAATCGAGAACGTTAAAAAACTCGCACTAAACACACATAACATGGACAATTATGTTGTATTCTATTCGAAAAAAAAAACGAAGAAAACGGTAGCTTCGTAACAATGTTTAAATACTTGTTTATGTTTAAATGCTGTAAATTAAATAAGATCGTAAGGGTCACCTGGTGGAATAGCATCCAAGAATAGATGTCGGAGAATTATCAAAAAGCCGCGGCGCATCGTTAACTCTTATTTTGTTATTAATATCCTTGATATTTCAGATATTCATGATCGTGATTTACTTAGAATTTCGCAAGAAAGAACTTCGGATTCAATAATCATAAAAAAAAAATTCTTTGTTATAACAACGAAATGATAATGAATTTAAAATTTCATAGCAGACTATAAAGTAACATTTGTTCTACAATTTAAATATTGACTTTTATTCCGACGAAGAATGATTCATTAAAAGTAAATAAAAGAATTCAATAGAAACTTCACCTTAACGGGTTCGCTGAGGTTCTCCATGCTGACGAATTTCTTGGCCAGCTCCTTCACTTTNATCTTTGTTATAACAACGAAATGATAATGAATTTAAAATTTCATAGCAGACTATAAAGTAACATTTGTTCTACAATTTAAATATTGACTTTTATTCCGACGAAGAATGATTCATTAAAAGTAAATAAAAGAATTCAATAGAAACTTCACCTTAACGGGTTCGCTGAGGTTCTCCATGCTGACGAATTTCTTGGCCAGCTCCTTCACTTTAGGCAGATGGGGTAGGACTTCATCCAGCTCATCTATATACCTTGGTTCTTTTTGGCTTGAAGTGTCCTCGTCGAGATCTCGACACGGACTGGAGCTATCAGCCTCTCTAGAGATTTCGTTATCTACGTTGTCATTGCAGTCGGTCCCGTATCTCGCTGATAAGCTATCTTCGGGTTTACACTTCATAATCTCGCCGGTCTGCACGTTGTATATTTTGATAGAATCTTCTACGCTACTGGTGCTGATGTAAGAGTCATCGACGCTCGCTGGCGATTTGAGCGGTTGGTCTTTCTCAATGTCTCTTGTTTCATAAGCCGTTTGTATTATTTCTTCGAATTTTTTGTCTGTATCTTCATCTACAGCGACGGGTTCGGCGGCAAATAATGTCTGTTCATTGGCGTCATCGTATTCAATTAGTATATCCGTATTATTGTTATTATTAGTCATCGTAGTTATTGATTCAATTGGACGTTCTTTATTGAATTTCGTGTACTGTTGGTTCGTTGCGATCAAGTTGAATTGTTTTATAAGTAATCCCTGAAATATTTGTTTCGTTAAGTTGGCAATATCGATTTCAAATTTCTATATTTATATATTTTTTATATGTAATAAATTAGTTTTATCAAAAAATCGATTCGAAATCAGCAGTGACAACTTAGTATAAAAATGATTATGTAAACAGTGGAAAAATAGATTTATGGTTATAATAAAAATCGCGTGCTTATATAGGGTGTTGAGTAAGCGGCGCTTAGTGCAATAAGGTGCGATCAGACTGTTAGTCACGGTATAAAAAAATAATCAAATAGATTCACACTATCAACTGATAAAAACCTTAAATTAAGGATGTTAGTGAGAAATGAGTGAGTTATATATTTATTAATTTTGTTTTAGCGTTTAGTTTAGTTTTAGCGTTTTGTTAGTCAAAATTTGTACTTTCCAAAATACAACTCACCACTAATTTCGACGTTTATTACTGTAGTGATAGTACTGAAAATTACATTAAAGGGAACACGTATCTATAATGTGCTTCACCAAGGTAATACTGTTTTTTTATTTAATTATTAATGTAAGTGCAGTAGTGCTGTTAGTCAGCTGTTCCATATTACATCAAACAACATGCTCAGATTACGCACGACAAGTACATTGTGTGTCAAAACGAAGATATTTTAGATATTGGCTGTGAATCTATGACGTGAATGAATCATTTGGAGTTCGATTGAGAAACGATTGTGATGTTAAAAAGGTTTAAATAAAAATTAACTTATTTATTACATTCGCTACATCCTGTATATGTATCGCATACAGTTCAGGTTTAATTAAATGAGATTATCATTAGTAGCATTCGATTCGGAGGTGGTCGAGGTTAATGGGGGGTATCGGGAGGCGGTGGTCACCACAGATCGGTGCGGAACCGTTTGCTCAACCTGAGACTGCCTCCGAAGGCGTAGGTCGTGTAGCGGAGGGCGGGGCGCGGCTTGTGGCGGTCTCCCCTCAGGGTGTTGCTGCGCCTAACGTTCGAATAACTCTCGAATAAATCCTCAGTGATTTCAGGTTCGTTTGGTATTTTAAGTCTAACTATATCCTCGTTTTCCACGAAACCGTCACCTCCGTAGCACACGTCATTACTACGTTCCCTTACGTTCGTGTTTCTGTTTAGTGCGTCTGTTGCGTGATTCTCGACAGCGTTGTCGTATTGTCTATCGGGGTTCTCGAATATGGGATTGATCGCGAAGTTGGGGCTCGCGTTTCTGGGGCTGAGCACGGCGCGGACGAAGTTCTGGTGCAGCGCGGCCGCCTCCAGGTCGCTCAACGAGCTGCAGGCACTTACTGGCGACGCGGAGCCCGGGTCGGAGCTCTCCACGCCCGTCCACTTGCTCACGGACGACGCGGAGCTCGTGTCGCTGTGCCCCAAACGACCTCCCGCCGACGTCTTCGCCTCCCTTATATAATAATCACGACCGTAACTGAAACAATAGGTGCGCTCATAAAACCTAATTTTTTTCCCTACCTATGCTGATAGCCTTGAGAGGCTATATCACCCTAACATGTAGGTGAACTCACGGGGTTCAAACCGGAGTGTTGCTAACACTGGCCCTAGCAAGATCTCTAGTATCTCACGGATCGCTTGGAACCTCTGGGTATACGGAGGGACGTTTTTTTTTGTTTTCATTGCTTAGTTGGGTGTACGAGCTCACAGCCCACCTGGTGTTAAGTGGTTACTGGAGCCCATAGACATCTACAACGTAAATGCCGCCACCCACCTTGAGATATGAATTCTAAGGTCTCAAGTATAGTTACAACGGCTGCCCCACCCTCAAACCGAAACGCATTACTGCTTCACGGCAGAAATAGGCGGGGTGGTGGTACCTACCCGCGCGGACTCACTATTAATCGTGTATGTTTCAATTAATAGTGTATTACATACCGCTTGTATTGTGGAATGTCGTCAGCCAGCACGTCTTTCAGTATCCTTGGGGAGGGACTTTTAGTTCTTCTGTCGGTTCTGTTAACATTCTCAGCACTGGCGTTCAACGAAGCGCTTCGCTTCTCTTCCACAATAGACGCGTCGCTGGTCGCACGGACGTCGCGTTCCTCATTGTGATCCTCCAGGTCTCTCGTTTTTCTGGTGATGGTGTCGAACAGCGAGGAAGCGCTCTTTGAAGATAGCCTCTTCTGTATAGCCTCAGGCGAGTACGGGTTGTTCGGCATCTCGACGTAATTCAACCACTTTTGGCGCTCCCGGTATGCTATTGAGCCTGTGAATTGATGTGGAATTCAGAATATACATCGACGCTTGAAAGGCAAACGTGACTAAGCGACAATAACTGCTTTATACATAAATGACAGGCAATAACCATATTCGATGCGAAAAAAATATATATTTCTAGGTCTATTAGAATCATTTCAATCCTATAGCTAGATTCGTTAAAATGGATTGTTTTTCAGGTATTTCTCAGGTATATTTTAAATTAATTTCAAATTTAAATTAGTCGACTGTAAAGTTCACGCATTGTCGCTTAGTCAAGTTTGGCTTTCAAGCGTCGACATGTATTAAAAAATCTAGTGAACTGAAACTTCCAAATGTTACTTTTTTTCATCCTCCAAACGATTATCGAATATACTCGAAGACGCACAAAAGAATCATCAAATATCGGTCCAGCCGTTTAGGAAGAGGACACTCATACGCACACGCCCAGAAGGATTATTATATAAAAAGATTTACATGAATCTTAATAATAAGATGGTGCTATTTAAATTTCGGTGACATAATACAAAGTGGAGGTTTTTAAATTGCTTAAACGAGTTTATGAGTCCTCTCGTGATAAATGGTTATCGGAGCCCACAGACATCAACAATGTAAATGTCCAATTATTCTTGGAATCTATGAGGAAGATTCCCGCGGATGACGTGACAATGATAATCGATTTCGAACGCGTTCTAATGTGTGTAAAATAAATAATCTTACCTGGAATCAAATCTTCCTGTTGATCAACATCGCGAGTCGGCATCCTGAATGAAATTTATCGAAATATTTAATTATGTTTTTTTTTCCCGGTTTTCGTGACTCCTCGACAGAATAAAACTAGTTTTACTGAAGACCGCTGGAAATATAGATCCCAAGAATGCCAATACTCTGGGAACACTGTAGGGATATTCATTGGAATTGCGACGCCATGACAATTCAGGTACAGGTCAAGTTTATTACTGGTGGCAGGGCCTCTTGTGAGTCCGCCCGGGTAGGAGCCACCGCCTTCCCTATTTCTGCCGTGAAGCAGTAATTCGTTTCGGTTTGAAGGGTGGGCCAGCCGTTGTAACTTTACTTGAGATCTTAGAACTTATATCTAAGGGTGGGTGGCGCATTTACATCGTAGATGCCTATGGGCTCCAGTAACCACTTAACAACAGGTGGGCTGTGAGCTCATCCACCCACCTAAGCAATAAAAAAAAGTTAAGAAGTGGTTGTTTACAATAACACGTGTCGATGATTTTAAAATGATTTTGTTGTTTCTGCATTGATAGAGTACTCACTCTCGATGACCATTTTCGAAATGTTTCCTTCTCAAGCTGTCGGCGTACCTTTGCACCGGCAATGTCACTGTTTCTTCATACTCGCCTTCACGCTCGTGATGGTTCAAGGTGTTTATTGACCCTAAAATGTTTAAGGCGTATGTATTATTTTCTAAATTTACCTACTGAATTTATTAACCGAAATCTAAAATGTTTTGGATTGTTTATTTGTTCCTCTCTGATGCTTTAGCGCATAGTTTATTGGATTGTGTCGCTTAATAGAGCTGTTTTTGGCATTGTGGCGAATGTTTCTATTAGAGCTACCAACAGGCAGTAGAAAGACTGTTAGTACTTTTACAGCTTAAGTGCGAAAAGAGGTTTAACGCGCGATATTGTTCTTATCTCCCTTGCTTCTCTAGCCGTTATTTTATTTTAATTTAGTGTAGAAAAGAGATGAATATCTAGCTAAGATGTCCTATTAAAACAGAATGTCCATTGTGAACGTGTTAACGACATATCACGACAGTCAGCAGCAGGACAGTGACTGTTTTCACTAATTATTATAGCAATAAGAAATTCGAAAATTTGTAAATTTCACGGTAAGCTCTTATGCTTGAACCTTGGCCCAGCATATTGTCTGTTTTAACATATCTGCATATAAACTGTGTGGTACAGTTTCATCCGTGGAAAATTAACCTCAAGCATGAAAATTTGGTGACTCTAACGATGGATTAACAATGGCGAAAATTACTGTTTCTTAATAGCTAAATTCCTCTTAGTATCTATGCAAAAAACTATTCAAAGTGCACTAGTACACTAGTACATGTGACCTACCTTGATTTTGAAGACTATCCAAATATTCATTGCCAACTTCATCATTAAACTCCACATCTACATTTTCTTTCCCATAACCATTCACCGGAGTCCTGTGGATTTCTTCTTTCAAGTTGAATTCCGCTTTAGGCAACGGTCCGCTCTCTATACCGATAACAAGTACAGAGTCTTTAGCTCCGTCTATTTCATCTCTATCAACACCATCTATTTCATTTTTATCAACAATCGTCGAAGTTTCAACAACACATACATTGTTGTCATTAATTTCGTCAAGCATACTATTTAATGCTTTTTCGTTTTGCTTAATCCCTTCAACGGGTTCTTCAAAGACTTCGTCATCTATAATGGTAAGGCTGTCCGGTTCGAAATCTAATGTCTCGTCTAATTTAAGTTTTCCGCCTATTACGTGTTTGGAATGTAATGTTCTTTTAATATCGCTCGTGAATTCTGGTTCGTCTTCCGCGTCGCTCGTATAGTCTGATAGATCGGTGGTATCATCAGCATCCCTATCGCCGATCAGAGCTCTGTATTCAGCATTCGAATTTGGGACTAACATAGGCACCGGTACTGATTGTACTGTTTTAATTTTTTTCTTTTGGAACAGCCAATTCTCTTCCCACGTTCCGTCCACGGCTTGGAGGTCGCTGCCGGATACTTCATCGAAATCTCGCTCCGAATTATCTGCAAATTTAGAACCATACATAATATAGTTACGCTCTAAATTACTGTCACTGCTTTCCGACAAGCAAGGATGTAATAGACAATGCATGTCATCTATGTATGTGAGAGAGTGAAACAATATCGCATGCACACATAGATCAGAAACAAACAGGACGGACTTGATGACCGCAGGTGATACAAAAGCTAAGTGTTTCGCAAAAGGAAAATATATATAGGACTACTCGTGGTAGATCCAAAAGTAGACGCTTCTAGGTTCTTCGTGTGGTAGTCGCTGTTGCGTATGTGCATTTATCTTTTCGTCGAATCCCAAACATAAACCGGGAACTTAGGATAACTTCTAGATCATTCCTCACTTTCGATTTGTCCTAGCCCAGTGGAGCACCAAACTAAGCGACCATACTAGTATTACCGTCTCGGATTCACGCACACTTATCTTAATGTTTATAATGATTAAATTTAATTCTTTCTACAGTTGTTGTTGTAAAAAAAATACAGGAGGAGAAAGTTTTATTGATCTAGTTCAAGCCTTACCGGAGTTATGGATTATGTCACGTCCGTACTCTGGGAATGGCACTCGATGTGAAACCTCCGTGACGTCATCAGTGGGCTCTCCATGTTCCCAGTCCGACACGTCATCCTCCTCTCGCAACTGAAAAAAAAACTGTTTAATCCAGATAAGAGAGTAACTCTAAATATGAATTTTATTCGGGTGTGCTATGGTCTTAAACAATTATATTGGGATAGCCGTGATGTTTGTAAATGGTATCAAAGTTTATGTAATGAGGAAAGGTGAAAATTATGTTGCTTGAAAATACGCAGTCGATGTAATGATCAAACACACACTATTGTCCTGCCGAGTCAAGAGCACAATATCTAACTGATGTTAGTAAAGTAGTGAGGCTTAATTTTTCAAGCGCTTTTTTTGGGTCCTCAAGAGGGAAGCGGGACCGCGGAAGACAAACGAAATCCTGATATCCATAAACTATTACTAATCTTTGTTTTGAAAAAAAATTTGAAGTCGTCGTGGCCCAGAGCATAAGACGTCCGGTGCATTCGTATTTTGCGATGCACCGGTGTTCGAATCCCGCAGGCGGGTATCATTTTTTCTACTGAAATACGTACTTAACAAATGTTCACGATTGACTTCCACGATGAAGGAATAACATCGTGTAATAAAAATCAAACCCGCAAAATTATTATTTTGCGTAATTACTGGTGGTAGGACCTCTTGTGAGTCCGCGCGGGCAGGTACCACAACCCTGCCTATTTCAAGCGTGAAGTAGTAATGCGTTTTGGTTTGAAGGATTGGGCAGCATACTGAGACCTTAGAACTCATATCTTAAGGTGGGTGGCGGCATCTACATCATGGACGTTTATGAGCTTCGGTTAGCACTTAGCACCAGGTGGGCTGTGAGCTTGTCCATCCATTATGCAATAAAAAAAAAACAAAAAAAATATGGCACCGTTTTGTGAACCATTGTTATTTTAACCTTTCACCGATCGTAGATTATTATGATATTTTTGACGCAATTTTATCACTTAATGATTTGTATGTTTTGATAAGCCAATGAATCATTAAAGACCTGTGAAACTGAATATAGATAATTTCATGATAACAGTGTTGTTGACTAATCCTTAAAATGTACAGTGGAAAGTTACAAAAAAATGGAACCCTAATTTTAATACAAAAAATATACAGGCTTACGTTCATCGCCTTTATTAATTTCGCACAATAATATAATAATTGTATTAACTAATTAACCGACGCGTTCATACAGTCAAGTAGAGTAATGAAAAACGGGAAAAATTTGGTATGTTATTATATCAGGCTTCTTTACCAGTGTCACAGGATTACTGTAGATAGCACGAATGTCACATGATTTAAGATATGAGGTTCAAATCACAGTGCTATCTAATTATCAACGGCATTATTTCATATTTCTTAAAATCATTCACTGTATTTTTATATAATTATTCTAAATTTTCTATTTTCCAGATGTTCTCAAATATTTCACTGTCGCTTGCACCCATATTGCATCGTGTTAGCAACATCGTCAGGTTTGAGCCCACCTACTAGTTAAACTTACGCTGAAATAGCCTCTCAAGGCTATCAGCTTAGGTAGGAAAAAACAGGGCTCACGAACGCCAGTTACTAACTATAGTTTGGTTTACGGAAACAATAAAAATCAAACTTACAGGAGTTGTAACGTCTCTTGTACTTCTGGAGTTGAGTGATCTTGGCGACGATCGCTCCGAAGGCGTGGGGCTCGCGCTGGCTGAGTGGATGCCGCTACTCCGGCCGCCGGATCCGGACTCGTTCTGGTAACGCTCGATCACCTGGAACGAGAAGTGGAGGTTACTCATGTGAAGTTCTGAAACAAAACTACTTGCTATCGGTAATTGGTGAAGCTGGTGACACGATATGACGGTGAGCCATACTCACATCCTCATTTAATTAAAAAAATAAATGAGATAATCATTCGGACAGTAAAATTTCTAAAGAAAAATTTATCAATACATTATCACATCACACATATGTAAGTTTACAAGTGAAAATACAAAGGATTTTCTTAACGAACAATAACTTTCAACAAAAAACAACTAACCTCATCGTGAGAGGCGGGAAAGTAGCTCAAAATGTTACTCAAGAAACTGTACATTCTTAAGCGATCATGTTCTTTATTTGTTAAGCACTAAATGTTAGATTAGCTTGTTTTAATGTTAAAAAGGTCTGGTTCGCACGGGCGCGCTTTCTTACTACGCTATTCCGCGGCGAGTGTGTATGCTCCTACACATTTAATAGGGTTGTCGATTGATAATTTTGTAATTCAGTTTTCTTTTTGCTTTCGAATATTCTTTTATACAATACAGATTGTGACAATGAGAAATACATACATACATACATCGTTTCAATCGCGGTGTTGTAACTTCTAACATGATTGGTTGAAAGACATCATTTTAAAGGGCATTGCTCCTCTCACATAGGTATAAACTGCGCTTAATAGCCAATAGTAAGTTAATTAAATATTTTTTTACTAGAAAAATGCTGTAAATTTTGAGGTTATTCCAACAGTTTTGCCATTCTAGGAAATTCAATTTAGAGAAAAACATTGAATAACTTGGTCTATTTGGATATCAATCGCTCGTTAAAATAATATAAATTTGGTGCTCATTTGTAGTAAGTTTTCATGTAACAATTAGTGTTACTTTGATTTTTTCACCTATGTTCGGAGTCCACCGGTGAGACAAGCAATTTGGATAATATTTAAAGAACGAGCAAAAAGTGGCGTAAATTACTACGAATTCAAAGCAAATCCTAATTTTTTATAAGTTCATGTGTCCGTTATGTTCTAGTATTGGAAACAAAAGACATGAAATAGGTCAAGAATTACTATTCTGTATTACGTCAAAAATGAATTGACTCCTAATAATTAGAGCTGTGTCATTTGCCGTGTCGATGTTGTTAACACAGCATCACTTGTAGATACTTGTTTTCGAAGTCGGCTCCATACCCGATCCTGTGAACAGAATGGTAAACAGTCGACGTCGCCCTAAAGACCTCATTACGGATCCTCCCGATCTATTAACGATGCTTTTAGGTACCATAAGCACTGGTCACCGTCCGTGAATTAACCCATAGACAGCCCACTGAGTTTCTCGCCGGATCTTCTCAGTGGGTCGCGTTTCCGATCCGGTGGTAGATTCCGCGATTAGCAAGAGCAGTGCGCTCTTGCTAGGGCCAGTGTTAGCAGCACTCCCTGGTTTGAGCCCCGTGAGCCCACCTACACCTCAAGGAGAAGCTGAAATAGCCTTTCAAAGCTATCAGCATAGGTAGGAAAAAAAAGAAAAAAAAGAAGTCGTCTCTCCATGGACATTTTTACGCAACAACATAAAAATGTCATATTTTGTGTCATTCACAAAGAGCTGACTTTTTGTTGAGGTAAGGATGACCGAGTTTCAGTATATTCTGTTCAAAAAGCTACATAATAAACACGCGTATGATATTTTTTTTGTTTCTGATAGCCAAAATCCAGCATTTCGACTATCAGAAACAAATATTTATTTCGAAGAAAAACTGACACAATCTTCGTTCACTCCGACAGCTAACTTTATTATTAACAATTTTATTTTATTAACAATTTTATCTCTCATCAACCGAATGATCATGGTTCTATACTCTTCGAATATATGAGTGTTACTGTGTTACTTATAATATTTTGTACTCAAGTTTAACAATATTTGGTATGTGTATGTGCATTACTATAATTCTCATGTTGTATTTGTTATTTTAGTTATGTGTTATTTGTTCTACACACACTTATCACTTTTTATTATTATTCTCATTATCCTCTCGCAGGTCTGCTGGAAGAGATTTCTTAAAGAAATAAGCAGTNGTACTCAAGTTTAACAATATTTGGTATGTGTATGTGCATTACTATAATTCTCATGTTGTATTTGTTATTTTAGTTATGTGTTATTTGTTCTACACACACTTATCACTTTTTATTATTATTCTCATTATCCTCTCGCAGGTCTGCTGGAAGAGATTTCTTAAAGAAATAAGCAGTGCCTTTGTACATAATTTTCCTATTACTCTGCACTATGTCTTTTTTTCTGTGTGTACATAAATAAATAAATAAAATAAAATAAAAAATATTTATTTGCCAGATTTCTTATTAACATCTATTGGCGATGACATCTGTGGAGGAGATTTGCTGTACACTGATTTATACAAAAGTCCCGTCTGTGGTAGATTCAGCGAAGCACTACTCCTGCTAGGGCTAGTGTTAGCAAATTCTCTCAAGTTGAGACCTACCTTACCGGGTGTAGTTAGAATATCCTCTTAGGCTACCAGCGAATAGGTACGGAAAAAACAGTCCAGTTTGTGCCAATATGCAAATATACGTTGCAGTAGGAGTACCAACCACCCTTGCTACTTACATCTGAAGCCTCAAGGAGAAGCTACCCGTGAATAGCCCTGCCTATCTACGACAGTAACCAAAATAATAGCCTAACAACAAAAGGGCTATTTATACCTTAAACGTGAGCGTCGTGCAAGTCCAAATAGAGAATCCAAATTAACATATTACGTTTATCGCTTAATCGCTGTTCTAATGATAATGATAATGCTTCGAAATGACCTCAACTGAACTCTGAGATGTTATCTAGTCTAGAATGTACTTAAACTGATAAACAAGCATTTACCATCGCACCGCCCGCCACCGGAGTAGAGTTCATCCATATTACCTGGAGCCACTGCGGTCATCCACAGTGGGTTTCCAGAGATCTTTTTTGCCACGTACCATCCGGCTATGGAATGAGCTCCCCTCCATGGTGTTTCCCGAGCGCTATGAGATGTCCTTCTTCAAACGAGGCTTGTGGAGAGTATTAAGCGGTAGGCAGCGGCTTGGCTCTGCCCTTGGCATTGCTGAAGTCCATGGGCGACCGTAACCACTCACCACCAGGTGGGCCGTATGCTCGTCTGCCTACTTGGGCAATAAAAAAAAAGAAGTGGTTTTTAATAGTAATCGATTAATTAATGTTTAGGCAAACCTCTCGTTCGACATTCTCCGGGAATTTTACTGGTGGTAGGACCTCTTGTGAGTCCGCACGGGTAGGTACCACCACCCTGCCCATTTCTGCCGTGAAGCAGTAATGCGTTTCGGTTTGAAGGGTGAGGCAGCCGTTGTAACTATACGGAGACCATAGAACTCTTATCTCAAGGTGGGTGGCGCATTTACGTTGTAGAAGTCTATTTGTCTATGGGCTCCAGTAACCACTTAACACCAGGTGTGCTGTGAGCTCGTCCACCCATCTAAGCAATAAATAAAAATAATTGTCTGTTAACCACAAAAGAGCTTCCCATTCTCTCCTTCGAACTTACCACTCTCAAAAGTACCAAGTGCCTTCTGTACAAACTGTACTTAAAATAATCAGTTATATCTACACGTTTATTGAAAGTTCAAAGAAAATACAACAAAACTTTCGTCGTTAAGTAATGTGTTATTTATATTTCAATGAATAATTAATTTTACCTACCGTTTCGTAACGAAATCCGGGTTAGCGTGTTATGTTTTTATTCTTATCGTTCTTGCGGGCTAGCGACGAGATAACCAACAATTAAAGATATATGTAATTATTGCGGAAATTTAAATTATTATATTTTGAAAGATAACAAAAAACCTTCAAAAATTGTCTTTTTTTTGGCCTTTTATCCCCCCACATTATGTGAGGAAGCTGCATGTCCTTTCTTTCGATTAAGGTCAGTCATACGTCATCTCTACTCATACTCAGACCCTATTCTCGCATATCCTCTATCACACAGTCCATTTAAGTCCTTTTAAAAAATTTGCGTGTCACATTTAAAAAAAAAAAGATTGATAAATTTCTCCATTAATAATTGAAACACTGAGTTTTTCCTATAAGAGTCAATTACACCAAATAAAAGATCATAAAAATCGGTAGTGAAATTCTGAAAAAATGTGTTGTTTACCCGATAATTCTGCTGATGGACAATAAATATTTTGGGTGACCATGAATTTTTATGGAAAACTAGACAGGGCAAGATGGATGTGTGGCATAAACCCTTTGCAGAAAAATTGACTCCTTATTAAAGGACAAATAAATATAGCATTATTTTGTTTTTTGTGTTTTATTCCTTTCAGCATAATTTATATATAGATTAAATTGAAACAGAGAACGCGAGAAGGTGTGCGAATGTTTTTTTATGGCAAACGGATGTATTTATGTATTGGGTTCTAGACTGGGATTTATTAGTAGATAAATATAATTCAATATTATTCTAATTTCAGGATAGATTGAGTTCGGTAGGTGATATTATCCAATATTATTGAAAAGTACTATACCTGATTTGAAAAGCACTATAATTTAAGACTGCAATATTTCCTTGGTTATAAATAATTTAATTATTGTTAATATTATTTATTATAGGATATTAATGAATGCCTTATCCACTCTAGTTACTGTGAGGGGTAGTAACGCGATTTTGTTTAAAAAAAATGGCAATAGTATCAATAGATCATATATTTTGTCATGAATTAATCATAATAAATTGTTATTATTTATTTCAACTATCGCCCACAGACCATAGACCATAGACTAAATAGAAGAATCAGAATCTTACCCACAATAATCCAGCTATAACGTACAAACTAATCACTGACAATAAACTTAAATATAAAAACATTTTACTAACGAAAACACACACGGTCACATCACTGCCTTATCTACGTCCGACTACCCGGTAATTCGTATGTACCTAAACAAGTACACATAATTTTNTATCGCCCACAGACCATAGACCATAGACTAAATAGAAGAATCAGAATCTTACCCACAATAATCCAGCTATAACGTACAAACTAATCACTGACAATAAACTTAAATATAAAAACATTTTACTAACGAAAACACACACGGTCACATCACTGCCTTATCTACGTCCGACTACCCGGTAATTCGTATGTACCTAAACAAGTACACATAATTTTTTTTTTAATTATAACCGATAATAAAAATAATAATTCTTACCATTTCTTCAAAGAGTGTCGTATCATTTGTATCACGGGTGTTGGAATAAAATATCGATAATGCGTAATCTTGCGTGATACGTGATATGTTATCGGTACGTAGTGAAAGGTTAGATTGATGTACTAGTTTCTTTTTAGTTTGTGTCTCGAGATATAAGATCGTGCTGTAGATAATAGAAATGATGTATTCTCTAGGGTCCTGAAACTGCGATACTTCAAGACAAATATTTTGTTTGTATGGAAACTAGCGACATCTTGTAGCGCATACCCCTAAACTTATATGTTGTTAAAGTTAAGGCATTTAATTACTGTATAATGAAACACAAAAATAAAAAATAAAATTTATAAATCATACAAGTCTTTATTTGATATAGACAAATGGATTAAATTTTATCAATATGTGGTTTCTGAAAATTTACAAAATCCTTCATTAAAAATAAAATATAAGATAGGTGATATACTACTGGCATCTACAGGAGCAATGAGAACTAATCGAAGCGACGCCATCTAGTGGCCGAGGCCCGTGAACATTGTTGTTGAGTGCTTCAGTTGCTTCTCTATAACTAATTTATATTATGTATTATTTATAGTATTCTCAGCCGCCGAAGTGGTGAAAATCCATTACAACCGGGCGTTGTTATCTGAAGCTCCATTTCTGTAATTTACTTCTATGGAGAATTCGGAAGTACATAACATTTTTTTAGTTCCCCTAGTCTCTATCTTACTAGTTGTGGAACGTGGTCATGGGTTCTAGTTACTGGTGGTAGGACGTCTTGTGAGTCCGCACGGGTAAGTACCACCACCCTGCCTATTTTTGCCGTGAAGCAGTAATGTTCGTAAATGTAACCACTTAACACTAGGTGGGCTATGAGCTCGTCCAACCAAGTATGCAATAAAAAAAACATCATCTAAATTCAGACACGAGGTCAAAGTTTAAATGGTATTCTATAATAGTTGTCCCGCTTTTTCATAGGAACGCCTATCTCCAGTTCCAGGCCAGAGATATAGGTACAAAATTGGATTTATAGTATGCGCTACTACTCAATTTTTTTATAGTTGGAAGTCTGTAGGCAAATCCGATGCTTATGCATAATCATAAAGTATAAATCTTATTTTTTTATAGTTAAAAGCTTAGAGTACTTTTGTATAACTGAGATGTGAATCTCTTTATAAACTTATTTTTATTTTTTATCGAATTATAATTTATTTATTATAAAAAAAGAACACAATATTCCTAACCTAAAAGTACATGTCATTATCCGCAACATGGTTCGTCAGAGGTGTTATAAACTGGTGTTGCATGCGAAACTGAACAGGCAAACAACCTTTTGTCAAAGATGTAGTATAATTGTTAATAATGAAAAACATTTTGTCGGGCATTTCAAATTCTAGAACTAACTTATCTCGTTTGTGTTTCTTTAGCTATGACATGTCTTTTTTAAAACGACGCTCAACGGAAATTCGTAATAGGATAATTTTGTTTGATATATTTATTTTAGTGTTAAAAAAATTACCTAGTATTTCGGAAGTTTTTTTTGTATGTACGTGACAGCCCTAGAACCTTTAAGGGCAAACTTCAGACTATAATGTGGACGTTATAGGGCTTCACATCAATACTCTTTATTTTAATACACTGCGTTCTTAACTGCAACTGGTTTTGCAACTTGTTTGAGTAAAATATAATAATTTTAATGAACTCGTTTGAAGAAGGACATTTGAACATTCGAAGAAGGACGCTCGGGCCTTTTCAAGTTTGAATGATTATTTACGCTTTACCGAAACCCAAACACACGTTTTTGTCTGTTTGTTTGCTTGTCTAGACAATCTTCCGGCTGAAGATGTTCTAACGAGGCCACCACTGGTAGGTAGATAAGCTTTTCGACAATATCATAAGCGTCTTTATCCCATCAATATTCCTGAACTTGTAAAATAATTACATCAGTTCTACGCCTTCAATACCATTTTGACTTTTTTACTGTTAGCTCTATGTACACTATTGAAGATTTGGTATTTAGCAATAAGTTTTTATTTTATCTTTTACAACAATATCTGTTTTTTTTTATGATGATGATCTAACTATACAATTTTACAATGCTAATTATTTTAAATGACAAGACATGAAACATTAATATAATTGGCTTTGCCTTGACACGTGAACTGTGGTTTGTATCGTGTTTTGTTAAAATACGTACTAGTAATTGGTCACAAAACGCGTTCGTGCAAACAAATGCTGTCACAGTTTTCACAGACCAGTGTGCTTAGTGCGAGGTTTTTGACGTTCTCGATATCGAAAAAGTTAACTCGTTTGCCTACGTTTGGCGCTAGGGGCGCTGTTCCAACTGCATACAAATTAGAGTTAACTTTCACGCTATCGAGAACGTTAAAAAACTAGCACTAAGAACACAGAGACGGTTCGGTCTTGGTCACGTGTTGACGGCGATCTCTATGTTATTATTATTTTTAAACAAAGCGACTTTTTATCGCATAACTTATTCCAGAGTTCATTATAATGTAAACCGAAAGTAAGTATATGTTATGTGAATAAATGCGCATCTATCTGATAATAGAAGACGAAACTAGAAAGTATAAGATTGGCATATGTTGAGACTTGTGACGGCGCGTGCTCACGTCCTGTTAGGAAGTACACCTGCGTACTTATACAAGGGAACAGCCGTTATAATAAAGAAATAAATAAAGAATAAATGACTGGGAACAAATCACGCACGGTCATCCGGCCCCAAACTAGGATTCCCTGTGTTATGGATACCAGTTTTTTCTTCTACCTCTGCTGATGGTCTGGAGAGACCATATCAGCGTCACCGGGCTAGGGGATACCAGAGACTAACATACATACTTATAGAAGTTAAAATATATACAAATGTAGATAATAAATAAATAAATAAACGAACCTGTTCATCATACGAATGTTTGCCCGATGTGAGAATCGAACGCACCAACCTTGGCGCCACAGTCAGGGTTGTTAACCACTGCACTAACGAGTCATTTGCGATTTCATGTCTCAGGGTGGACAGGAGGATTCCTCTCATGATGTATATAGACTTTGAGAAGCACACCGGGTGCCATAATTGTTGGAACATACAGAGTACATAAATGAGCAGAGGCGCCTCCTGTTGCTAGGCACCACACGCTCCGTTGACGTGTGGCGGAAGTTTCAACTGCATTAAAATTTCCTTAAAAAACTGGGGGACCACAATAAATGGATTTTTTAATTATTTCTTGAATTATGGATCAATGAAAGGTAAATTACATAATATCACTAGCTGACCCGGCAAACGTTGTTTTGCCATATATAGGATTTCTAGGGAATTTCTAGGGTAGAAAAAAAAAACTTATTGTAAGTGTGTAAGGATGTGGCAAATGAGTGAAAGAGGCATGTAGCGCTGTGAACGATGAGGGAATATAAAAATAACAAAACCTCATTCACCCACATAATGACATCTAGCAAGAAAAAAAAGACATTCATATAACAAAAAAAAAAGGAAAAAAAAATTGTTAGGGGTGGACAATCCTTAGGGGTATGAAAAATAGATAGTAGCCGATTCCCAGACCTACTGAACGTGCATATAAAATTTCATAAAAATCGGTTAAACCGTTTCAGAGGAGTATGGTAACTAACATTGTGACACGAGAATTTTATATATTAGATAATATCTTGCATTGCACTAAAATTCGCATGTCAAATAAGACAAAGCATACACGCTGCTTTTAACTTATGTAATAACTCATTTTCACTATGCTTAGCGAATAAATGATTTCTTTCTTTCTTTCATTAATGTTAATGTTAGGAGTAAATAGTTTTACATACCTTATTGAGTATAGCTGTGGCAAGTAAGTCTTCGTACGTGGAAGACTCAACGGATGGACTGTGCGGTGGTTCTGAAGCATATCGTGTCAGGGCCGGTAGAGCCGCAGCCTCTTCCACCACCCTCGCTACCAGTCTTTTGAGCTGGACATGAGCGGTGGTCGCGCCTGAGTGGTGGCCACTGCTCGTACTTGATGGTGATGCGTTGCGTGATGGTAGATCTAAAGGATAAGGGAATAAGATGTTATCGTTAAAATCTTTAGGGTAAATAAATGAAAAAAAAAAACAAAAGTTTCATCTAGTAGCATTGATGGCAAGAAATAGTTCAGTTTTTGTTAGAAGGATAAAAGTGCAAACTAACTATTTATTTTAAATGGAAACTATGGGAACGATAGGAGATAAGTTCTTCAATAACTTGGCGTATGTTAATATGCTTTCTTTCTTTTTTGTAGCCGACATTTAAGATATTTTTGATGTTTTACTTCAAACCGATAATTACCGATAGCATTTAGAAATAGGCAAGGTATAATACCTATCCGTGCGGACTCACAAGGGGTCCTACCACCAGTAATTACGCAAATTATACTTTCGTGGGTTTTGATTTTTTATTACACGATGCTATTTCCTTCACCGTGGAAGTGAATCGTGAACAATTGTTGAGTACGTATTTCATTAGAAAAATTGGTACCCGCCTGGGATACGAACACCGGTGCATCGCTCAACACGAATGCACCGGACGTCTTATCCTTTAGGCCACGACTGCCCATGACGACTTTATTGCATTATCGGAGGACATTCTTGTCACGCCGGAACCCTCCAATCCTTCTTCAAACGGGGATTGAAGCGCGTTTTCAGTGCAAAAACAAAATAAATATTGTTCTTTAACTACAATTACGTTATACCAAGTTCGAGATAACATTAACATAATAGGTGTAGCATCCGCTTACATACACAACGTGTCAAAACAAACAGAGCTCTGTTAGTACGTGCAAGTCACATTGCAAACAATGAAATTACTTATATCGTATGCTGTCATGAGCGCAGGTTTTGTGCCAGAGCAAAGTCCAAAGATTGCGAAAATTTGCTTATGAAGTTTTCTTTACGTGAATGATGATGTACCAGCTCAGCTTCGAAGGCATTCTTAAGTTCTTGGAGTGTATTAGAACTATGATTGTGCTTTCATACAAATAGGTGTATGTTCGGCGAGTTGTTAGTAGTGGCTCTGAGTACGACTTTTGTGATGGATTTTCGACTGTCGTCGGTATATTTGTTAAAGTTGTTTCATGTCGTGTCAAAGTTGATTCTTGCTGGTTGACTGCATTGATAAGCTTTTTTTTTATTGCTTAGATGGGTGGACGAGCTCACAGCCCACCTGGCGTTAAATGGTTACTGGAGCCCATAGACATCTACCACGTAAATGCGCTACCCACCTTGACATATAAGTTCTAAGTTCTCAGTATAGTTACAACGGCTGCCCCACCTTTCAAACCGAAACGCATTACTGCTTCACGGCAGAAATAGGCAGGGTGGTGGTACCTACCCGCGCAAAATTACAAGAGGTCCTACCACCAGTAAGAACAGTTTACGTTGTTGATGTCTATGGGCTGCAGTAACTACTTGATACCAGGTGAGCGAGAGTTCGTATAGTCATGTGAGTAAATCGAAGCTTGGGTTATTTTTTGTGTAACATCTTCTGCATCACATGTCTAAATTTACTTAAATTGATGTAAAAACATTAATCTTGAAGACAATTTGATAAATGTAATTTTGTCATTAGCCAATAATTTCGTTCTATTGTTGAACCGTCTGTTTTTTTTTCTTTCGTGTCGAGGCCAACCTTTGACCGTATGGTTATGTGTTTAGTACCTACATTAGGAAAATTGTACAAATGTGGTAGTTTCGTGTATTTTGACATTCAACAAGAATTCTCCAATAAAATGTGGCAAATAATAACTAACAATCGTCAATAATAACAAATAAATTAAATAAATCACATTAATGTGAAGGCCTTGTTTCACAACTTAGTTCATATCATATCAATTCATAAACTAAATATATATTATTAATTATCATTACACATTTATGAATAAGAAAATAAATAAATTAAATACTAAATTAATATTAATATTAATATTAATAAGAATAATAATTTAATAACTAAAATAATTATTAAAATGAGTCCCTTTAGGCAAGGCTTCGTGTATTAAATCGTGAATTTTCGCAAAATATCGTTGGCTGTTTGCTTGAATGGTGGATTGATTCATTCATTATGACCATAACAAGAGATTAGATTATGTTGCAAAATGAATCGTTAACGCATTAAAATATTTTGTTGACTCGGTTATATATAATATTAAATTGCATAAATTCTACATTCGATTTTATGATTGCAGTACCAGACATATTTTACTGCGTTTAAACGTAGGTTATAAAACCAGCCTTCTGTATTTTGCAAAATGTCAGCACTTTTAATTATCGGCTCAAGAAATAATATTTTATGTATATGGGAATTATAATTGATGTTTAAAGTGGACTTGCAACTCAAATGCCTTTGCATTTCGAAATGAGCGCGAATATGTCAAACGTAACAAGTAGTAATGGCGTACGAAATTAGCGCGAATATGTCAAATGTAAAAAGTAATGGCGGCTGGCTACGTACTAAGTTTAACACAACAAGAACACAATTACGAACATATAATAATATATTAAGAGTAAATGTAGATTCCTACATAATTTTCCAGGCGATTTTAATTATTTCTAAATTTTCATCTATAATTTCGTTCAAACAGATGTCCGATTGTTCGAATTGTCAAAATAAAATTATTCGATTGTACTCAATGAAAATTTTAATAACATCACCGCGAGAATCATTGTAATCACGAGATAAAAAGATAAAACTTAAAATTATTTCGTATATTTATGTATATTCACGTATATGTATTTCGTAAATTATTTCGTGTTACCTTTACAATTTACTTTTACTTTAATACTACTAATACTAATACTAATTACAGAAAATAATAATTAATTTTAATTCCAAAAAGTAATTTATAACATTTATAACCTTAATTTGTTAATGTTGGAGGAACTTATAATGTAAATAGGTTTTATTTGTAGAATTATTCGTCAAAGAACTTGCATTCGCTACTGGTCGTCCTTTAGAAGGCTGATCTTTGCCATTTACAGTAAAAGCAGGTGCGCTAGCAATCCGTGACATAAATACGTTTTTGTTTTATCATTTTGTTGTTTAATGAATACGCACTTGTGTATATGTACTCTATAAGCATGGTACCTGAAGAGTCAACGTCTAGTGTAGTATTTATGGATATTGTCTTTCGGTATAACGAGAAATGGCCTAAATAGGGGACAAATCGAAAAAGTTTCCAACCGTAAGCAGCAAATTACTGTTGAAAAACCCACATAAATAGTGTTAGAGTGAATTAACATGAATGTGGCGGTTGAAAAGGAAGGGTGCTTACTTGAAAATTTTAATCTACTAACTTTTGGCGCTATCTTTGAAATTATACCACTTGCTACAGTGGCGCCAGTCTAATCGGTGGCTTATTGAAGGTAAATTGCTAATAAAAGAGTGTGCTGCTTGGCTCTAACCTCCACATTTTTGGGATAGACTTTAACTAAACAGTGTTTCTGTTGGGTCTGCAATCTTTTTTCTCTAACCTGTACGGTTGGGGCTTTGCCATCATTATCATGATGCCTAACAATTCTTATAAAATCAAGTAACTTCTTTTATTTAGTGTCATCGTTGCGAACAGAAAATGCATTATTAATTTAAATATGTTTATTACGAGACACTTGTTTACGTTTTTAACGCGAAACGACCACTCATAGTATATCGGTGTTTGTAGTTATTGTGAATACATTCAACTGTTTAGACATCTATTTATTTATTGCGGTAAACGAACTCATGGCCCACCTGAAGTTGAGTGGTTATACGGGTCCATTGACCACAGCGTGAATGCCGATATCTTAATACGTAATAATGTCGCAATTGTATGGTAATTACGCTTTGGTAGGAACTGTACTCCTAGTATTGCTGACGTCCATGGCCAACGGTAACCATTTACCATTAGGGCAAAAAAAAAAAACAGAATCTTGCGGGTTTCATTTTGATTTCGAATTACACGATGTTAATCCATTGTGAAAAAAATTGTATCTGGATTAGTATCTCTAGGATTTCAATATCGCGAAACCACAGCAAATACTCACCAAGTATCTCCTCAAGCCAGTAGCAGGAAATGTACAGGAATATGGCAACCCCTAACCAGAATCCGATGAGCAGGAACGCTAAATACTCCAACATTTTAGCATTCTTAACACTGGTAACACTGTTTAAATCACTAACACTTTATCGTATTAATCCCATTATACCTTTAAAATTTGTGCTATAGTTTTTTTTATTTTAATATTAGATATGGCTTAGCGGTTTTAAGATATGAGTTTTTAAAATTTTACTAGTACAGCGCAACCGTTTTGCAATACGCTGTGGTAAATATTTATTTATATACTTTTGACACCTCTCGCGCCCGTCCCTTTTATAGCTTATCAAACGAACGATGCTTAAGTGAATGGAAATTATTCTAATTGACCTTTTTTATTTATTTTTTATTGCTTAGATGGGTGGTCGAGCTCACAGCCCACCTGGTGTTANTTTTAAAATTTTACTAGTACAGCGCAACCGTTTTGCAATACGCTGTGGTAAATATTTATTTATATACTTTTGACACCTCTCGCGCCCGTCCCTTTTATAGCTTATCAAACGAACGATGCTTAAGTGAATGGAAATTATTCTAATTGACCTTTTTTATTTATTTTTTATTGCTTAGATGGGTGGTCGAGCTCACAGCCCACCTGGTGTTACGTGGTTACTGGAGTCCATAGACATCTACAACGTAAATGCCACCTACCTTGAGATATAAGTTCTAAGGTCTCAGTATAGTTACAACGGCTGCCCCACCCTTCAAACCGCAACGCATTACTGTTTCACGAGAGAAATAGGCAGGGTGGTGGTATCTACCCGTGCAGACTCACAAGAGGTCCTACCACCAGTAATATACCTATACTGAAACCACAATTACAATGATTGCTTCAAATCTAAAAGTGTTTTATTCAAGTAGGCCTGCCTCTACAGCCGCTTCCAATTCGTCAGGAGTTTTCTATTCGGCATTCAACATTCAGAAGAATCTCTGAGAAACTAAGGGTT